TAATTTACCATGGTTAGAACTTGGAGATAAATAGAAATGAGATCAAGAAGGCCCTGAATGCTTAACTGAGGCTTCATCCTAAAGGTAATGGGAAATGCACTGATTTTAAGCAGAGGTATGTCAGACTTATGTTCTCAAAAGATCACACCCTAAGCAATCAGAAGACAGGACTAGAGGCAAGAGACTCGAGGCAAGAAGACTGGGGAGAGGCTAGCGAGTATTCAAGAAAAGAATAAGGATCTCCAATAAGGTAGCAGCAGTTGGGATGAAGTGTTGGAAATAATATGGGTAATTCCAAGGTGCCACCAGGCTTGGGAACTACTGTGGCAGAGGAATGTTGGGAGTGGGTTTGAGGAAGAGGGAAGGTTCAGTTTTGAACATGTTAGTTTAAGATGCCTATGTCTAGGGGCACCTAGGTGGCTCAGTGGTTAATAGTCTGCCTTCAGCTCGGGTCATGATCCCAGGGTCCTGGGATCGAGCCCCGCGTCGGGCTCCCTGCTCAGCGGGAAGCCTGCTTCTCCCTCTCCCACTCCCCCTGCTTGTGTTCCCTCTCTCACGGTGTCTGTCTCTGTCAAATAAATAAATAAAATCTTAAAAAAAGAAAAGATGCCTGTGTCTAGCTAAACTTGAAATAGGCAGTAGTGTATGAAGTACTAGAGCTTGGGATAATTGATATTAACTATCTACTAGATATTAACAACAACAAATATTTATTGGCTACCTGCCATGTGTCAGGCACTTGGAAAAATGCCTTCCATTTATTAACTTGGTAACTCCCCCAGTGATACACGCACCCCAATGTTTATAGCAGCATTATCAATAACAGCCAAATTATGGAAAGAGCCCAAATGTCCACTGACTAATGAATGGATAAAGAGGTGGTATATGGTATATATATACAATGGAATATTAGTCAGCCATAAAAAGAAAGAAATCTTGCCATTTGCAACTATGTGGATGGAGCTAGAGTGTATTATGCTAAGTGAAATAAATCCAGCAGAGAAAGACAAATACCGAATGATTCCACTCATATGTGGAATTTAAGAAAGAAAACAGATGAACATAGGGGAAAAAACAAAGAGAGGCAAACCATAAAACAGACCCTTAACTATAGCGAACAAACTAAGGGTTGACGGAGGCAGGTGGGCAGGGGGATGGGTTAAATGGGCGATGGGTATTAAGGAGGGCACTTGTTGTGATAAGCACTGGGTGTTATATGTAAGTGATGAATCACTAAATTCTACTCCTGAAACTAATATTACACTACTTGTTAACTGTAAAACAGTGATAATGACAGTCACCAACCTCATAGAATTGTTGGGAGAGTTGGATTTGGGTAATGTATGTAAAACACTCATTATTATGTCTATTTTACAAATGAGTATTAGACAACATGCCCAAAGTCACACAGTGAGTATCAGAGGAAGGATTTAAAGACAGATCTGTCTAACTTCAATGCCGTAGCTAAAGCCATAGGGAAGGTAATGTTGCCCAGAAGACATTCCAGGAAGGCAAGGAGGCCAAGCCAGAAACTTGGAGAATACCAATATTTAATGCAGAAGATGAAGAGCCCATAATGGATGGGAGGGAGGGGAGAGGAATAGGGAGATACAAAAAAAAAAAAAAAAAAAAAAGACAGTTCAGAGTTCCGAGGAGAAAGATTAAGATAAGCACCAAGAAATAATCCACTGATATAGCAATGGGGAGGTGGCTGAAGAGAGAGAACTGGAAACCAGATCTTGGTATGTGTGACTATTGATGGTAAAGAAATAATGATTGTAGCCTATCCTTTCAAGCAGTCTGGCTATTAAAAGAAGGATATAAGAGTAGTGACTACAAGAATATACAGGATTGAAAAGTTATTTTTCTTTCCTTTGTGAAAATGAGAGTAATTTAAGCACATTTGTATTCTAAGGGGAAAAAGCCTGTCAGAAGGTTGAAGACTCAGAAAATAGGATATTTGATAAGCAAGGTCTCTGAAGAACCTGTAGCTCTGGATAGGAAGTAAACTTCTTCCCTTGATATGGGAAGAAAGGAAGCAAAGTGGTTAACATGGAGAAGTTTGGATATAGGGGTAAAAAGTAGATGGAGTTGTTGCCTGATAGTTTTTACCATGCCCATCATCTGCTTGACAGAGAAGAGGCCATAATTTATTTTTATCGTATTTTACAAAAGCAGTGGCCTGCAATATATTGGAAAAACAATGAAATGGCCCTATACCAAAAAGTATATGTTGAAAAGCATTATACTACACCACGAAGGCTAGAGCATGCCAGAAAAGGCGAGGCGGGATTGTAGACAAGAAAAAAAATCAAGGTAGACTAAGAATTATAAGTTATGGATAGTTTGCTTATAGGAGAAGGTTGCCCAAGTAGGAATTGGGACTTGAGATAACAGTGATGTGAAGAAATTCACAGATTTCAAGGAAGCAAACCAGCCAAAAGTCTCAAGGAAGCAGGGAGAAGGGCCAGAGATCAGGCAGAGAACAGCAAGGAGGAGGGCTGAGAGCGATTACTCATCTGAATTTGCTACAAATAGAAAAATTAGGATCCAGTCCTAATGAGTATACTTTTCATCTGATTTTACTAGAGAGAACACCCTACCCAGCCACAAGTGTGGACCTGCACAAACCAGTTAATCCCTGGCTGAGATCATCAAATTGAGGACAGAAATCCCTCCCCAACTGAAAGTTTCTATCATACAAAAGTCTAGCACACATACCTTTTCAGCAACTGTGCGTATTTCAGTTCCGGTATATGTAAATTTGGAGTCACTCCTTTTGGGGATAAATTAGGGGGGGAAAAGGAACTCAGGTTTGGAATATAAAAAGATATTAAAGCAAAGTAACAAGATTCGAAGTTTTTGCAATGAAACCTTAGCAGAGACAAAGGAAGAGTGGCTAAGTACATAATCTGCTCGGTGGCAAAGCGAAATTCCTAGAATCCTGGGTATTAAGGAGGTGGGCTTGAGAAATACACATTCCGCTACGCTTTGAAATTTAAATAAAGGTAACCCAAAGCTTTTGCCTCCTCAAGCATTCAAGTTCCTGGGCATCTCTGAGATCATTGTAGGGTCCACCAGGGGGAGGCAGAAAGCCATTGACAATTTAGTCAAAGGAATGAGTCAATAGGGGGAAATGTTTCTTAATATGCTTATCATTTGCTGCAAAGAAAATTATCTATTTCATTGTCATTTCAGGAGAGAGAGAACATAAAACATATCAAGAAATAAAACGGAACATAACAGCACTGTATGAGTAAACAAAATTCTATGTGTAAGAGCTTTCACAGGTTCACTGATGATCTTGGTACCCCCTACCCATATTTTTTACAGAAGGTCATACATATATCAACTGAAAATTCTCCTAGTAGGAAGTAAGGTGGAAACCAACCTTCAGGGTCGGGGTGGAATTCAAAGTGTATCACTGAGGGAACTCCGGACTCATAATGGTAACTTAAAATACAAGTTGTACACAATATTGCCAACCTTGTCATAATTTTGAGTTAACAGTGACATAGAGATCAAAAGATATGAGTAAACAAATATAATCTTACCTTGTGTCATCATTCAACTAGAGTGGGAAAAAGCAGAAAACATTATTGATCACATTACGCTAGTTTGATGTACATGGATGTAGATTATATGAAACTTGGGTCATGTGTTCCTGTACACCAGCATGAAAGACTGGAGAATTCTTACTTCGGACTGTAAACAAGTAAGGTCTATCTCCTCATCCTCTGTTGCTCCTCTCCAACACTTAACCCAGTGGAAACCTTTGCATCTTTGAAACCCTCTTCTCTGTCTGGTTTTCTGATACACTTAGAAGGCTTCCCAGAAGGCAGACTGGAGGCGAGGCCAGGGGCCCTAATCGTGGTTGGATGCTTCCTAATACACCGGTGTCCTCATTATACTACAATGTCTTTACAGCCTGACTTGCGGTTTTGGTCAGTGGGGTGATAACTCCAGATCTAGAGAAAAGCCACAGACTATAAGAGAAACTGCAAGGCCCACCCGGAGGATTATGCAGATCGCTGGGGGTTTGCGGGAGGCTAAACAAGCGTCCAGAGACAGAGGAAACAGGGCCCCCACTACCTGACCTTCCAAAGGATCAGCCCAAGGGTCCAGGTCAGAGGTGCCTGTAGCCTCCGCAGCCGTGGGCGCTGCCAACACCCACCCCGGGCACACGCTGCGACTGCTCAGCAGGGTTCCGGTCAGGCTAACTGACCTACTCACCTCCCCTATACACAGCCCCATCACCTCCTCCTTCTCTGTGCTCAGAGCGTGGTTGAGACAAACTAGGAAAGCATCCGACTCCAGATGAACCGCCTGCACCGCCTGTACCACCTGCACCGCCATCTTGGTCCGACCCTGCTCACGTCCGCCTCGGGCCCACTCCGGGCCTGGCCAACCGGGTGCTCCGGAGCGCGGGTTCCGCGGGGGCGGGGCTTGAGGAGCGCGGGCGGGGCGGGGCGGGGCGGGGCGGTCGGAGTGGGGCGGGGCTCGAGGGGGGCGCGCGGAGGCGGGGCGTGGGGCGCGGGGGCCGGGCGGGGCCGGCCCGGCGGCACCTGGGAGACGCCCGCGCCGGTTGGGGCAGGCGTGGCCGTGGGGCGGAGGGCAGTAGCCGGCCGCGGTCGGGGCGTCAGGCCGGGTGGCGGGGTGGGCAGGGAGGCGGCGCTTGCGGGTCGTGGGCCGACGTGCTCTGTGAGCGGCGCCCCGGCGGCCGGGCCGGCGCCTCTCGAGCGCCCGCGCCCATTTTGCCCGCCCGCTGAAGAGAGCCGTACGCGGCCTACACGCTCCGGGGACAGCCCTTTAAGGCGGCCTCGCCGGGCGCGCCGGCCTCCTGAGCCAGGGGGGACGCTCTTTTGAAATTCGGTCCTAAGACAGTTCAGGTTTTATTTTATTTCGCTTTGTTTCCAAGTTACGGCCCCTGAATTTTGTACAACTCTCCCTGGACCACTTCCGGTTGCCGGCCCTCGCCTCATAACTTCGGTTCGGGTGACCTCGGCCCGGGATGCCCCTCGGCTCGCCCCAGGCTCACGTCCCGATCCTGGCTTGAGTGGCCCAGGGCGGGGGACCTGGAAGTTTTAGCCTCGCTGCTCCTGAGGCGGATTAATTAGCCCAAGAAACATTATATTCATGTGAGTAACCTCTTCCAGAAACAGTGCTATACTGTATCTGAAAAAGTATCACTCTTAAGCTTGGCTACTGCTATGTTCTACAAAGGCTTTTAGGTATCTTATGTGTTCGATACAGGGAACGGGAATGAGGGACTTCAGTTTTTATTGAAGGTCTCAGCTGTATCGCAGTCGATATCCACAATATAAGTTTCCTCAGCTCTCCTTGTCTTGATGATATCAGACATGGTGAAATTCTATGTAAAAGTAATTTTCTTTTCAGGAATGTCAAACGTGCCACGGGTAAAAGTACAGATCTTTCAACTCCCAAGGTTAGGAATTACACGTGGATTTTAGGAACCATTCTAAATCAAAGAAAAATACATGCCGTGCCGCCTCCCACAGCCCATCAGTGTTTATGTTTGTTTGATCTGGTTTTCTATTCCCTGTGCAGTGTTGAAGCCAGGCAGGCATGGCAGTACTGGAAAGGGAACATTCCCAAGATGCTACTTGAAGAGGTGTTGATGCTTTGCTCTTTTCTCCCAACTCAGTTCCAATCCAAGTCCCCCCACAAATACGGCCCGTATCCACTGAAATTATCTGTGACATATATACCAGCAACCTCCATTTTTACCTAATGCTTAAGGATCACATGGCACCTCTTTCCATGATTCGTCTTGATAATGATGAAGATTGGGCAAATCTCGAAGTGTGCAATTACATTGAACCCATCTAAATTTTCTCTTAAGTTTCAATTTTACACCATATATTATGTCCAGTTACTGTTCGTGGCTTGTATGCCCTGCCTTAATGGGACAACGATGGCTGTTCTCATTATTATGTTTAGTAATAGAATATTTTGAGTTTATAAAGTGCCTTTAGGCACCTTCAAGAGAAAAAACACCTTTTCTTTGTTGTTGCTGTTAGTCAATCTCAAATATCAGAACAACATTCTCTAACTTCTATAATGCTCATGACTGCACTTTTACAGTTCTAAATGTTTAATTGGAGTACAGAGAAGGACTATTAAAATTTATGGCAAGCTTATTTTGTGCTAGACACTCTACCAAGCATTTATATACCTTTCTATGTAAACTGCCCCAACTGGAATCAGACTCTACAACTTCCTACCTGTGTTGTGACTTCATGCAAGTTACCTAACTTCTCTATGCCTTACTTCCCTCATCTTTAAATGGGGGGGTAATGACAGTATCCATCTAATCAGGTGATAGTGAAGATTAAAAGAGTCAATATACATATAACATATAAGTGCTAAATAAGTGCTGACCATTATGATCAGTATGTTGTTTATTTCTCATTTTACACCTCAGAAAACAAGTGTAGAGAGGTTAACTTCTCCCAAGTCACAAAGCTATTAAGTGGCAAAATCAGGATTCATACCCAGGCCAGGCTGACTCCAGGGCATGCGTTCTTAGTAACTTCACCCATTGTAATTAAATCAGTGTATTAATTCACTTCAAAGAAAATAAGTATATCCAACTAATTAATGTTTAAAAATTGTTCAAACACCTGGAAATTGAAGTAAATTATATTTTTCTTAAGGAACCCTTTCTATGTTGTATATCGTCCATTTAAAACATAATTTATGAAATGCCTTACTAGGAAATTGTCTAGGCCAGTATGGTCTCTGGCCATGACATCAAGGTGACCCCCATGGGGACAGTCGGCTTTAGTGCCTTACTGGATGATAAAGCCATATAAATACTTTTTGAATCCATTTGAATTTGCAGATGGTAGTTTTCCTTTGCGTTGAGTGGAAGAGGTTTATGTTGTGTATTATACTGCACGTTGTGCCTGAGTTTATCTTGAGGATTTAAGAGATTCATCTTAGTTCAAGGGGTTCTGAATTTTATGAACAAGTTTCATGTGCAGAAAAATGTTCTCTACTCAAATAAATTTGGGAATTGTTAAAGTTTCTTTACTGTGTAACTTGCCAGAGCTTTTACTACACTAATAAGCTTTATGACTAAAAGATTCCCAAACTTATTTGACCAGGGAAAACGTTAGGGGCAAGTGTTCCAAGAATCACATTTTAGGGAAATGGTTTGCAATTTATACAATCTATGATTTTATGGTCCTTCATCTTAATCTTAGTCATTCAGCCTTTGCTTTTCTCTGGTAAGGATGTTGTTGGTTCATGCTCCTATGGCAGCATCTCGGTGAGTGGTAGCACACACAAGTCCAGGGTCATGTGCTGCAGTTTGTTCCCAGGCTCATCCTACTGATGCCCAGCATGTTGGCCTTCAGGTCACAGCAGCACATCACACTGCCTTTCTTAGAATATTTTGTAGTGACTCATAGGCCTCTTTGTAGTAATTCATAGTAACTCAGACTATCATCTCCAATTTGTTTGCCCTCTATACCACTGGAATCATTTCCTTTTAATGTCAGTGTAACCAGTAAAATTTTGCTTTTCATTCAAAACAAATTTAAATGTCAATATATTAGTTGTTGTCTATCTGTGAATGGACCTGTCTGTGAAGGTGAGATGGTACTGAAACTCTTAACACTTGGTTTCTTTTTTTTTTAATGGCCATACTTATTTCTTTTGTACTCGAAATCCAGACTTTAATAAATATTTTTTTCACATTAGTATTTACTTGGTTTTTGTTTGTATCTCTCCTTTCCAAAGCCCTGGGGAAAAGGAGAGGCAGAACAATTGTATCTGCTAAATGGAAAAAAAAACGGCTTTGAAAAAATATATAGGTATATAATATACCTAGAGAATCAATCTCTGTCCATGTATGTGTGGTCTTTATCTGTTTCCCCTCTCAGCATACATCTTCACTCACTCACAGGAACACTGACTAGTATTGAGACTTAGGGTGCCCAGTACTACTGTTATCGAAGAGCTTATAATACTGTATTTGAGGGGAGACAAGGCTTGTGAAATAAGCAAAGCAAATATGCAAAGGCAATTTATAATTAGAGGCCAAAATATGAGCTTGAGCTGAGACATAAATGCTGCAGTAGTCCTAAGAGGCAAGAAGTTTTCATAGAGAAGGTACTGAGATAAACAGAATGGCCTGTGGAGGCATTTTAGACAAGTAGAAAGCTAGAGCAAGAATTTGGAGCTAGAAATGGGCCTAGTATTTAGGGGAAAGTTTGTCTCAAATATGGTGGTAGTGGTGCTTGCTGGAATTGGTGACAGATAGGATGTAGCAACTGAAGAAGAGGAAGAAGTCCAAGATAACTCAGAAGTTTTGAGTCTGCAAGATCAGGAGAGGTGGTGTTGCCACTGAGAGAAATTGGAATTTGGTGAAGGAGAAGGGGTTCTTTAGGTGAGTTTGAAATGAGGGAGCCCTATAAGATGGGAGCTTACAATAGGCTCAGAGTCAACTCCAATCAGGGTACAATGGGTGAAGCAACTATGATGCTCTTAAATTATCCACTGAAATCAGACCATTTCTTAAGATCTTAAGAGATCTACTTGGAAGGTGAACTAACAGTGTTAAGAAAAAAAAAAAAAAATCAAATTGTTGTCCTTGAAAAGAGGGCTTGGTTTAGCCCAATTAATTCTTTCTGGCTTTTTCCTGGGCTGTATCATACTGTGTTCTGGCATCTCCTTTGCTCTTGACAATCTCAATAATGGTTTAACAACCTCCTGAGATGTGCTGCAGTTGCTCTCCTACCTTAAGGCCACCCAATAAGAATAGGAGGCCTTTGTTTTGTGGGGCAGATGCCCCAATGCTGTTATCTGTTCTGTCAAAGGTAGAAATACAGGGAAATAATGCCATGATGCTAGGAACCAAGTACAAACAATTCATTCCTCCAAAATGCAGGTCAAGTAATTGTGAGGCCCTGAAATGAGATCCAGAGCTAGGCAGAAAATCCTTATGGGGTTAGAGCCGAATCTGCATTATGGAAAGAGTTTGCCCAGGAGGTTTGCTTCCTTTACACCTCTCAAACGGCAGAGGGGTTTTTCTGGCCTTCTGACTTGGGAAATCAGAATTTAAATGCACACCTCTGTGGAAAAATGGGTTCCTGTGACATCCTGAAGCATTATCAAAATGAAACAAGGACCTAGATGGATAACGATCATTTGCTCTCAGCTCCAAATCACCATGATCCCCAAAGTCTTTTGCAGCTTCAAAACTCCATGAAGCTACCTTAAATATTTTCCTTAACATGAAAACCCCCTTCTGGAAGTGCCCAACTACTATAAGTAACCTTTCTAAGTAAGCTGATAAATAGGTTGCTTGTCCTTAAAACAAACTTTTAATTTACAAAGCGATGCACATACTTCAGCCTTCACAATCCTTTAAAATGGAATTGCTTGAAAGGGGCTTTTACCTGGGGAATATGGCACACGTGTCCATTGTTGCCCAAATAAGTGCCTGTGCATACTCTGTTGCTACCTACATTTTGTCAGATGCTGCTTTGTGAGTGCAAAGACTGTGACACCACTGCCCAGCTTCCTGAGGTGCTAGTCCTACATTTCCACAGAACTCCCCACTGAGCTGAGGAGCTGAGTGCTTCACAGTCAACAGTTAGCATGACCTGAGGCTCTGCTGAATGTCACTTCAGTGTCTTGCAGGGAGCTTCAGATAGCCTCAGCTCTATTTAGGCTGTGCAAGTAGACCTATAAGAGTTTTGTTCTGGTTGGTGGTTGCTAGTACCAGGTCACCTTGCTCACTGGTGAGTTCATTCAAACCCAAAAAGTCACACCTGTGTCCTGTGCGCGGGTGCTGCAGGCTTAGGTGGAGAAAAGCAGGGCTAGAATTGGAACCCAAAGCCCAGAATGGCAGGAGAGGATGTGGGGGCTCCACCCGATCACCTCTGGGTTCACCAAGAGGGTATCTACCGCGACGAATACCAGCGCACGTGGGTGGCCGTCGTGGAAGAGGTAACTGTTTACATTTTGCTTATTTTTTTAATTGACTTTGCTTTCAAGCAACTTGGTGTCTAACCAGTCTCAAAATCCTGAAATCTTTGCTTTTATTTTTGTCATTTTTTTCCCATTAGGAGACGAGTTTCCTAAGGGCACGAGTCCAGCAAGTTCAGGTTCCCTTAGGTGACCCAGCTAGGCCAAGTCACCTTCTTACCTCCCAGCTACCTCTCATGTGGCAACTCTACCCTGAGGAACGCTACATGGATAACAACTCTCGCTTGTGGCAGATTCAGCATCATTTAATGGTACCCATGTTGCTTAATCATTTTCCATTGTATTGGGGCTCTTACAACAGAGTACTCTATAAACTTTTCTTTTTCTGACAGGTCAGGGGAGTACAGGAGCTGTTGCTTAAGCTTTTGCCTGATGATTAACCTGGTATGTATTTCTATTTCTCCCCTGTTCTCCCTTCTTCTTTTTCACTCTATTCAGTTGTGGTGATTTTAATGATCTATTTTTTTTCCAGGTGCTGGGATTCTAGGAAGATATGCTCCTCTGTTCTGTTCAGTATATGGCAATCACTTCATCCACCACTGCAGTGCACCCACCTGTGGGCCTGTGGGGAGGGAGTGGGTTGAAAAACTGCTCAAGAACACAGAAGCTTAGGAAGGGTCATGAAGAACACCACAAATGGAACTGCAGAGAGGGGGTTACGTAGGCAGAAAGCAAGTCAACAAAAGCGCTTAGTCAGGATACGTAACTTGAAATTGACTCCTTTGGAAATTGCCATAGAACCTTTAATGGACATCATCAGCTGGAACTGGGATCTGATGAATCCCACAAAAGTCAGCACCTGCTACAGAACAGATGCCCTGATCACCAAGGACTTGGTACTGATTTAGAGAGAAGAGAGCAGCTCCTAGCAGCATCAACATCTATTTGTCGCTTATTTGCCCTGCAGCAATTCACCTGCCTTTCCTTCCCCCATCCTGTAAATATCCTAGGTTTTGCTCCAGTGTTTCCCCTCCCAGTACTGACCTAACTTGGATCTACTGAGAACTTAGGGGGCTCTGAAAAAAGAGGAGGTTATTTGAATTAATGACATTAGCTACAAGGCTCCTGGGCCTTTTTCCTTTCTGAAATTGTGCCTTCAAATTATTAGAGGTTGCTAATCAAAATCGTGGGCACTTCAATTCATTCTCTGGTTACAGATATTTTAAATAAGTTGGTTTCTGTAAGAGCTCCAAAAATTATTTTAGCCGCTTAACTAGCACCTTTCTCAGGAAGTAATAATAGCACCAAATATTGCTGATTCCTAGGAAATCATTTACTACCTGATAAAGAATTTTCTGAGTTAAAGTAGTCATAAGTGTTTATGTACATTAAAAGTAAGGTTTTACTTTCTAAAAAATCTTGGGAATCATAGCTACCATGTATTGAATCCTTACTGCCTTCCTTCCAGGCACTATTCTGTGCACTTTATATACTTTATCACACTTAATCCTTCCATTAATGCTTTGAGGTAGGTAGGAATGGTCCCCATTTTACTCATGAATTATAAGGAAAAAGGCTCAAGGAGTTTAATCATTTACCAAGGGTGGTTCTGTGAATGATAGATCTGAGCAGTGGACAGGCCTATTTGGCTGTGGCATCGGCTCCTCTAGCCCACAATTGGTTTACAATATTCAAGATGAGGTGATTGAATTCACGGTTTTATTTTCATGTAAAGCTATTTATGTCTTCCAAATTGAATGAAATGGATATTATAAAAATACAGTTGATTCATCCTATGAATGGGAAGAGTATTTTTTAGTGCAATTGTTTTCTAGCATACCTGGTTGTCTCAGAAGAAAATTCCATCTAGAGGGGCTTTAAAGTCTTTATGGATAAAAGACAAAATAAAAATCATTTTTCTTATTTTAGTTTTCTGGATATGCCGCAGAAGGATCCGTGCCAGAAACAAGCCTGTGAAATACAGAAATGTTTACAAGGTAGTATGTTAAATGCTTTTTTATATTTTTTCACTTTATCTGTGAACTAACTACAAGAGACCAATTTTTCTTTTTATCACAAATGATATGAGCTCCTCTCAAATGTAATATTTCTGTAATTATCCTGAAGATTTTTCTCATTTCATCAAAGATGCAGAAAATAAAAAGTGATATGATCCAAGCTCCGTGTTTGCAATTCTGGTTGTACATTAGAATCACCTGAAGAGCTTTAAAAAAGCTCTTGCCTAGAACAATTAAATCAGACTTCCTGAGGATGGGTTCTGGGCAGGAATCAGTCTAAAAAGCTAACCAGGTTATTTTAATGTACAGCCAGAGTTGAGAATAACTAAGCTGAGCAAAGTCCTTTTTTAAAAAGACTAGTTTTAAATGGGTTGGTTATACTTCACTGTGGCTGACAACCCACTTCTTAAAAGCAATCAGGTTAGAAATGGGGGTTGAAAATACAATTGGAATTCAGGCTGCCAAAGTCAGCAACTAAGGCTTAAAGGCAAAAGCAAACTTCAACTAAAGCATATTTGATGTGATCTGTCCACTTGATTTTTTCCCCCAATTTGGTTTTAAATTGGCCAATAAGTTTGACCAAATGCTAGAGGATTTTATATTTTTTTTAAATCAGCACATGATTATTGGCAGAAGAACAGATAGAAAAAGCTACAAGGCTTTCTGAACTTCAAAAGTGACGTTTTTGATAACTTTTCCCATTATTAAAGTAACAGATAGAGATGGATGCCCATGAAAATATAGAAGGGTCTGAAGGAAAAATGTTAAGAATTTACCCAAAGATTCACTACTAAAGAAAACTCTTGTTTGTGTATTTCCTTTGACTTTTAACTTTCATTCTTAGACTTTTTATGGTGTAAGCAACATTTCATAAAAATCTTAATCTAAAATGTTAATGTATAATGCTACTTTATTCATCCTTTTCTTTCCTTCCTCCAAATTTAAGAAAAAGGAAAATGTTTTTCACAGTTTCTTTTCCCCAATAAATTCTTATCTTATTTGAATTAGCAACACATGGCTACAGTGTGGGAGGACTGAGGGCTGGAAGGACTAAGAGAATTAAGCACAGCCATAAGGGTTTTAAACATATTGAGTCATTTAATCCTTTCATCCATTAGGTGGATGCTACTATGACCCCCATTTTATAGATGGAGAAATTGACACAGAAGTTAGATGACTTGTCTAGGGTCACACAACTAATAAGGGGTACAGTGAGGATTTGAACCCTTTTGGTCTGGCTCCAAGCTTGGACTCAGCCACTCCGCTGTATTCTTTCTAGTCAGAATTGGGTTTTTTTTTTTTTTTTAATCCTGGACTAACTCCCGTGCACCCCATTTTAGCACCGGGGGACTCAGATCAACTGCAGCTGACCTAGAACCTTTAGGTCAAGTTCTCCTTGACTTAAGGTCTATGTATAGTAGGGGGTCTACAAAATATTTTCTGTAGAAGGCCAAATAGGAACTATTTTAGCTTTGGAGGCCAGAAGGTCTTTGTTGTATAGTGTGTGGGTGGGTATGTGGGTGTGTGTTTGCAACCCTTGAAAAATGTAAGAACCATTCTTAGCTCACAGCTGTAAAAAAGAGTTGAACTCTATCCAGAGGCTGCAGTTTGCCAGCCTCTGTTGCACTTACAGCCACCACTGTCTTAGAAAAGGGCACGTAAGCTATTAACTCAACCTTAAAGAAAAGGAAATTCATATATAAAAATAGCTTTCAACCACTTTGTGAATCATGCTTTTTTTTCTAATTATCCTGTTGACTGGTCTGTACATCAGAAAGAATTAGGTGGACTTGGGTACATCCTCTTTCTTCCAGGTCTGTAGAGTGGGAAGCACTGATCTAAACTTCCCTGTGCCTTAGTTCTCTGAGATCATGACTAGGGTCTGCCTGTCTGTTTTTCAGCCAACAACTACATGGAATCTAAGTGTCAGGCTGTCATCCAAGAACTGCGTAAGTGTTGTGCTCGATATCCTAAGGGAAGATCTCTCGTCTGTTCGGGATTTGAAAAAGAAGAGGAAGAAAAGCTGACACTGAAGCCTACATCAAAGTAAAGTTCTGCTGAAAAGTTAAATGCTGCACCATGTATCCACCAAGCAAGTTTTGTCTTCCTGACTCTCTTCAGGCCAGGTAGCAGCAAATATCAAATAAAAAAGTCAACTATAAAAGTTAATGAATATGCCATCTATGCAGAACAGATAGACATATAAATATATTAAATATGTAGAATGTAATAAAACTGAGCTGCTAAAATAAACCTGTTAAGTGAAAAATTTTTGTTTGGTACTTGTGATATTGCGACTTATAAGACATATATTTGGTCTTTATCTCCTTTCCTGGTACAGAGCTCCTAAAACTCTTGAAATTTCTTAAGTGATAAGAGTGATAAACGTGTCTTGTAACTTTAATGAGGTAACTTTTGGAAAGCTCCTAAGTAACCTGTGGATGGGGACTGGTTGCCAGGGGAACCGTGTGATTAGAGGGTTGGAACTTTCAATCCCCCACTTCCCCCCCACCTCTAGGGAGGGGAGAGGGGCTGGAGGTTAAATCAAACACCAATGGCCAATGATTTAATCAATCATGACTGTGTAATGAAGCCTCTATAAAAACCCAAAAGGACTGGGTTTGGACAGACCCTGTTTGTGGGACCTTGCCCTTTGTACCTCTTCACCTAGCTGTTCATCTGTATCCTTTATAATAAGCTGGTAAATGTTTAAGTAAATGTTTTTCTGAGTTCTGTAGTTACTCTAGCAAATTAATCAAACCCAAGGAGGATGTCATTGGGAACTTCAGATTTATAGCCAGTAAGTCAGAAGGACAGGTAACAATCAGGGCTTAGCAATAGGTGTTTGAATTAGGGGCAGTCTTGTTGGACTGAGCCCTTAACCTGTGGGATCTGACACTAATTCCAAGTAGATAGGGTCATAACTGAATTAAGTTTGTAGGACACCTAGTCAGTGGCCACTGAGAATTGGGAGAATTGCTTGGCGGTGTTTGAAAAAAACACATGAGTACTAAATGTATTTGGTTTTTTAGAAAAGATTTTATTTATTAGAGCATGAGTGAGTGGGGAGAGTGGCGGGGGAGAGGGAAAGGGAGAGAGAATCTGAAGCAGACTCTGTGCTGAGCACGGAGCCCACTGTAGGACTCGAAACCAAGAGTTGGACACTCAACTGAATAAGCCACTCAGGAGCCCCCTAAATGCATTTCTTAAGATTATAGATATAGATGTTAATGAGTTGTCTTTAGCATTTGAGTTTAGAGTACTGGTACCATTCATAAAACTGGTCATGTGTTAAGTGAAAAGATACCCCTCCAGTGCCACAATCATGATGCCTTTCATACATGCTAAATTCAAAGGTTTCTCTAACCCAACTCCATACCTGTTGCATTTCCAGTGATTCAGAGCAAAGTGTCCTTCCAGATGCCAGTGAGAGCATTTCTTTCCACTTTTACCTCCCCACCACAGTGCCTAGCAAGAAGACACTTAATATTTGTTCAAAGAGTGGTAGGAAAGGCCTAGAAATGATTCTTGTAATGTTTAACGACCCGATTTATCATGAGAAAACCAGAAAAAAAAACCTTTATATCCTTATAATCAAAACGTTACAGTAGATCTTCATGATGTTAATACAAGAAGCCTGTTGACAGTGGTGGCAGAGTGACAGTATCAAACAGGCCATTTGCTTTCCTCAAAGAGGTGCTAGAACCACTATCACTCCACTCTGCCCCAAAAAGAAAAAGATGACTTTCTAAGCAGGAGCAGAAACAAATTCTGATACGTCCTTGTCTTAGTCCATTCAGGCTGCTGTTAAGTCCATTCAGGCTTATAAACAGCAGACATGTTATTTCTCACAGTTATGGAGGCTGGAAGTCCAAGATCAAGGCACCAGCAGATTTGATGTCTGGTGAGGGCCTGCTTCCTGGTTCACAGATGCCTGTCTTGCTGTGTCCTCACCTGTTGGGAGGGGTGGGCAAGCTTTCCCAGGTGTGTTTAATAGAGGCACTAATGAGTCACGAGGGTTCCACCTCCATGAACTAATCATCTCCCAAAAGCCCCACCTCCAAATACCATCACCTTGGGTGTTATGATTTCAACATGAATTTTTGGGAACACAAACATTCAGTCTATAACAGTGAGGATCCTTCCTTGCCTCTTTCAGCATGCTAGAAAAAGCCTACATTGCCATGAATGGACTAACATAAGATAGTCTGTGATAGGGGCGCCTGGGTGGCTCAGTTGGTTAAGCGACTGCCTTCGGCTCAGGTCATGATCCCGGAGTCCCGGGATCGAGTCCCGCATCGGGCTCCCTGCTCAGCAGGGAGTCTGCTTCTCCCTCTGACCCTCCTCCCTCTCATGCTCTCTGTCTCTCATTCTCTCTCTCGCAAATAAATAAAATCTTAAAAACAAAACAAAACAAAAAAAAAAAGATAGTCTGTGATATTCAAATACCATTATTATTTGAGACCAACTCTTCTTTTAAGCAGCAATCCCTAAAGTGTTTCTAGGAATTGCTGTAAAAGGGGGGACAAAAGGCTTCTGTGGTCAGGTAAGTTTGGGGAATGCTAGGTTAGACATAAGTTAACAGGTTTCTCTCCTGTAAGACTTCAAAGCTTTCAATATGCTACTGTAAATCATGTTTCTTTGAAAAGGACTATTGTATGCAGTACTTGCCAAAGTGTACCCATTTTGCAGACAGCACCTCACAGGGTGAACGTTCCCCAGAGAGACTTGGAGAAACGCTGCCTTAAAGATGTTTGGTCGACAAACCAAGGTAACCATGCTCCGTTCTCATGAAATCATTTAAATGAACTCTTGTGTTAATAGTGAAACGATTTAATCAAACATTTCCAACTGTTTACATCATATACAAATGTAAATTACATTTAAAGTTACCAATTAATAGCGGTGCTAGGATTTACATTAGGAATCACAATATGACCAAATACATTGTTTTCCTGTGCTTTATTACAAAATTATTTTTATTAACTACTCAAGTTTCAGATTGTTTTAAAATTTTTTTCCTATGGTATACTACTTTACTTAGGACTTTTAAAGCTTCAAATAAATTGTTCCTTCCTATCTTTAAACTCAGTCCTGTCTCAGTTGAAGTTAACATCTATTGGCAGACATTAATTTAAATCTGATTCTTCTCAACTATTATGACCCACAGAAAAATAAAATAGCCATCAAAAAAGCTCAACATTCATCCAGTGTTTTTTATGTGTTAGGGGCCACAGCACTGAAGCTCAGTCTCCAGGGAGGACCTGGGAAGGTGAGAACTATGATCTCTATTTTAGAGACTAAGAAGTCTGTAAGTGGGCTGGTGGTGCTAAGTTTAATCACTTGGTTAATTAGTGACTAAAAGACATCAGTGTAGAGGGTGATATGTTGGGCCATATCCCACTACTTTTCATCCCAAAACTTCAGCATCCATTGATGACAAAAGCTCCTGATCTGCCATTATGCTAGTGTGACAGCTCCCTTCCCTGCATCCACTTCCCACAACTCCGAACATTTAATAAACTGTACACTTGTGTTTTTTATCTGAAAGGCATCTAAAGTTGTATGGCACTTAATATAAAAGGCTTTAAAGGCCTGTTAAGTAGTCACTTGTTAACAGCAGAACTATAACTTTTTTAGAACCAGGTTCCAAATCTGCTTCAGTGGTTCTCAACCTTGGCTGCTCAGTAGAAACATACGAGGCATGTCAAAAACTCAGGCTGCCCAAAGGTACCCCAGACGAGTGAAATCAGTCTTTAGGATGAGAGCCAGGTATCAGTAGTTTGTAGAATTCCATTGCTCTCAATAATCCTAATAGCATTTCTTATGATTTTAAATTCAGAAAGGTAGACAGTTTGGGTGAGTCAATAAGCTGACTTCACAGGTTTTTTTAAATGTGAAAAAAGCGCAGCACTGTCAATTTTCTTCAGGAAAAATAGTGCTCTTAAAATTCATGATTCCTTAAGAAGAACCAAACATCACAGAACATGATTTCTGGGAAATCGGGTCCAGGATAAGATATATATTTTTTGCCCAATTTTCCAAGAGATACACTAACATTGTGTAAACGATCAAGAAGGCCCCATACCTGGACTTCATGACAAAGAAACCAAGCTGGTAAGTTGGTGGAAGCAGCAGAGAGGGCAGCAGTCTAATTTTGCTTACAGGGTCCAAAACTGGCCTTAAGTGAGTTTCCTTCAGAGAAGAAACTGAGATGATCATGAAACATTAATGATACTCAGAAATTTCAAATCCATCTCTATACCATTTCTTCAAGCAGATTTATTGTATTTTCCAAAACTATAGAAAAGTAGAGGTTTCAAGTAAGAGCCCAACCATTAGTCATGCCCATCTTGCTGACAAATGTCAAACAAGGATGGAGACAACATTCTTATAATAGTTAACTATACAGTAACTGCATTTTGATACCTTAAGCACCCACCCCAAGAGTACGTTAGCTAGAATTACATAAGATTCATTCCTTCTAGAATACTGTTCTCCAACTTTATTCATGTCCTGTCTTCTGCCAGCATCCATGAGACAGTTAACTGCCCAGGTACAGTAAGGAGGGCTCTTACCCAGTGGTAGGGCAGGTGGGGGAATCAAGACCCCTGCTCTTTGATGAATGTCTCCAGGCTGAGTGGTAAGAGGTTGCAGCAAACATGAGGTCCAGATGGGAAGCAGGAGGAAAATGTTGTATGTTAAGACAATGACACTAATGACTATGAGGCTGCTCAGCAATGAGTACACAGAGCCTTAGGGAGACTGACAACACTGGAGTCTATTTTTTGAGAATGAGAGGGCAGCAGCCCTAAACTGACACCACGGCGAACTTTGGGGAGAGGCAACTCAAGCATTATAGCTCTGCTGTGTCGGGCCCCATGTCCCAATCCTGCCCAGTCCCATCACGGGAGCAACAATTGATCAAAGGGTGGTCCAGAGTCACAAGGGCACTGGGAGTGGCCGTGGTGGCCCAGCAGGGGACAAAAAGGGCGCAGTGGGGTGCTCGGGGGCAGGGTGGCAAAGGGGAGAAAAGCATTGCAGGTGTTCCAGGCACCAGGTGTGGATGTGTTATGTCAGACAACTCAGCGTCATAGGAGTTTCTCCCAATTTGGGCCAAGCTACAAGTAGAGAAGGCCCGAGTGTGGTGTTACCACACCCCTGCCATCAGGGGGCGCCAAAACCCTGAACACACTGGATACCTTTCATTCAAGGAAAAACTGCAGTCTCTTCAGCTCCCCCACCACTAAAAAAGAAGCCCAGCACATTATTGGACTCTGGGTACTAGAGAAAAATATGTGCCTCACTAAACAGGCCTTGCTAATCAAATGAAAATGCTGCAGTCATGGGTGCAATTGCCTGGTCCTGGTATCTTGGTTTTGCATGAAGGGTTGGCAGCTAGCTGTTCTTTTGGGAGAAATCTTACCTCCCCCTTCACCATCTCAAACAAAGCTGCTGGCAAAAGGGCCTCAATTTATAAGCTCCCCTAAATGCCTGCGCCTACTTCAGCTCAGCTGAAATCTGACATATACACCAGAGCAACGCACAGCATGACACCAAGCTGCAATACTGACCTTAACCATGCACTTCAGGGTCCCAGAAGCAGCCACCTTGGAAGAAACTTCAGCAGGAACCTAGAGATTTTATTTCAGTCTATTATCTATTACAACCTGCTGAGAGCTTAGAATGACCTGCTAATGTCTGTTGTCATTGCCAATAATCACAGGCAACTCCCATCCCATCAGAGAGGCATCCAATGGCCACTCTTCCTGTCATGCAACCCAAAGGAGCACAGGACACGTCACTTAGGTTTTACAGTAACCATTCCCTTGGGTCAAGTCATCAAAGAGCTGCAGCCTTGATTGCCATGTATGACATAACCCAGGGACCCAGGCACCAGAAGCAGAATGTAGAAAACTAAGGAACAAATAACTCAGTGTCTTTAATAACTATATTGCAGGCCAAAAAAATAAAGGAAAAAAAAAGAACATACAAGATTAAAAGAGACTTAAGAGACCATTTGAATGCAATGTGGGTAGACCTTATATGGATTTTGATTCAATCAAACCAAATGCAAACCACTTAAGAGACAGGAAATTTTGAAAACTGGCCGGATATTTGATGATAGTAACGAATTATTATTAATTTTTTGGTATGATAGTAGAGTATTATATTTATGATTTTTAAAAACAGTTCTTACCTTTTAGAGACACATACTGAAATATAATGAAATGATACATTTTGTATTTGTTTCAAAACAATTGATAAAACAAGCTATGATTTGATCATTGCAGGTGGGTGATAAATATATGAGGGTCACTGTACTTTTCTCTTAGATATGTCTGAAAATTTCCATAATAAAAAGTGAAAACATTTTTTTTAGTTCTTACACAAAAATATGCAATACAGAGGCTCATAGCATTATGATTTGGGGATGGTTCATACATATTGTAAGCAAAATAACTTATGTTGCCTTAAAATGAGGGAAAAAATGCAGATAGATGAAATCTAAAAAGTTCCACACATCCATTGGTAGCTACAATTTCCAAATTCAATCCATTTTTTCCCAAGTTAAAAGGCAAACATTTTAAAAGAAGGCCTTAAAAACATACATTTTGCAGAGATCACCTGCAAGTTTAAGAATTAATTCTAAGTTTCCCGCATTCTCAGAACTCATAAAGTCTCAAATAATTCTTTGGATCAGTCCCTTTTCTGGATACGTTTATTATTTTGAGGTCATCAGTCATATGTTCAACAAATCCTGAATACCTATTAAGTGCTCAGTTCCATGGGTGAAATGGTGAAGACACAAGCCTTACCCTCCAGAAGTGGATAGTCTAGCCGAGGTTGCAGACATGGTAACAGGCCATGACAACAAAATGTGCTAAGATTCTAAGCATGTGTATCTATAAACTTTTAAAGAATAATTCTAAGAGTTGTGGCCACTGTGAGACAGCAGAACGTTTGATGATGGAAATAATTTACTTCACACATGCTATTGCTACTGTTCTCAATTCTGAATGCCTCTTTAAAACTCTGGCTCAAATGTGAGGTATTTCATACCAACTAGATAAAGAAATAGATCTGGCACAGAGGAGCCATGGCTATCCCTAATGTTTTGACAAGAGGTAAATAATACTTAAAACCTTTTCTATGGGGCGCCTGGGTGGCTCAGTTGGTTAAGCGACTGCCTTCGGCTCAGGTCATGATCCTGGAGTCCCGGGATCGAGTCCCGCATTGGGCTCCCTGCTCGGCAGGGAGCCTGCTTCTCCCTCTGACCCTCCCCCCTCTCATGTACTCTCTCTCATTCTCTCTCTCAAATAAATAAATAAAATCTTTAAAAAAAAAAAAAAAAAAAAACCTTTTCTATGTAATAAAAATCCAAGAGCTTCTTCCCTTTCCTACCTAAAATCACTTATTTTACCATGAAAAAACCCTTTGGAAATAGCCATGAGGAAAGCATCCCTGGATAATATCTTAATGTCCCTAAATGATTCACTAAGTTTGACCATCCGACGATGTATCTATTAGTTGGTCTCCCACCAAACACAATACCTTTAGCTCAGCATATATACCTTTAGCACAAGTTCATTCCATATTCAGATTTTTCAATTATAGTGCTTTACTGCCATTTTTGTCAGGATAATTACAGCAGGTATACAAATAGCTCTCTTTCTGTAATCTAAAACCAACTAAAAAAGAAAGCAGACACCAAGATAACAAGTCTTTCATGCTTAAAGGCAAATGTATTCAGTTCCTTTCCATGCAGCACATAAGGTATCTATATGCTTGTGATTTCTTTTCCAAATCAAGTTTGGGACAACCTTTGAGGATCCACTCATCCTCCAAGGTGAGCCATCTTATATACCATGCTCTGTTAAGTATCTTATATGGGAGGGGGAAAGGAACACTTTTGCTGACCTACAGATTAGTCAAGTGGGGAGTGTGCTGGGAGAAGAGCTAATGTCTATGGTCTCTTCCGTTGCCATCAGGTTCACAATAGGGCCGTATCAACTTGTACCGACAGATGCCTATAGAAGCCATTCAGATACGCCACAGCAGGGAGGAAGAAGAGGAGAAGCAGGAGAGACTTGATGTCCTATGATGGAGTGAAGAGGCTGCTGGTTTGGAAAAAAACAGGAATAATGAAAGTGAAGTTGTCCTCCTTAGGATGCCATGCCAAGCAGAAAGCCTCCGAAAAATCCCCCAGTCACTATAACGTTCTTCTTCACAAATGACACTACCTAGGAACAGAAGATAGCACAAATCGGTTATTTTGCAGGGATATTATTATTAGGAATCAGATCTCTATGACCTATGCGATCTTAACAATGTCAATCCCCTCACCACTGGGTCTCTGGGTCAAGATGGTAGCAGGGATGCTAGTGTGAAATGATAAAATTCAAGAGATGTTTTTGAAATGGGACTTTGATTGGATGACTGGCCATATGAGGGATGAGGAGGAGAAGCCAAAGGCAACTCCTTGGAATCTGTCTTCAGTTATGTCTGTTAGAGAGCTAAGAAATCTGCCTGAGAATTCATTTAGGAACAGGGAAGAACAGAGTTCACGGGGGAACTTATGGGGAAAGATTAAAGCTGTATTCAATAAACTAGTTATAGAGGCAATTCTCAGTTTCCAATTTCACTCCTTTGTTCTCCCTGACACCTACTTTCCAATTAAGGCTGCTCATTCTGAAGTCTCTCCTCCAAATTTCTCTATCCATTCATCCTGTCCATCCATCAGTCGATCTGTCCATCTACCTCACCCATCCCCCTCTGAGGCTTCCTCTTGAGTAGAAGCTATATACACACCTCACCACATCAAAGGATGATTAAAATAAGGATATCTTAAATTCACAAAACTTCCACCTTCTCCTGTCCACTCATCTGCAGCTCAGAACATGCACTCAGCACCCTTTGACTCCCGTGCCCCATCAATTTCCATTTCAGAGAGAACTTTGGCAAGTGGGTCAGACTCCCTCTTTTTCCCAAGTACAACCATCACCTTAGACACTGTTCATTGGGACAACATATCTGGTATCCTGGCCTAATCATTTCTTGAACTCAAGTACAGTGACTTCATGTCCCAACCATTTAAGCCTCTCATACCCTGACCTGCTCCACTCTACTACCCCATCCTTCTGGGACTCTTTAGCATCCTTACTCCCACTATGCCTATGACTTCCTATGTCACTTTCACTGGCCCTCTGACTTGACTGGACCCCACATTTCCCTACTTGAGGTATTGTCTTTTGCCACCTACCATCAGGGGGAATGAAAAAAATCATACAAATTCCTGAAATAATTGCTTTCATTCATTATCTTTACTTTCTTACTTCCTACTCATTCCTCAACTTGCTACAGTTTGGCTTTCAACTCCACCACCCCCCTAAAACTGTTGTCACTGAAGTCACCAATGACTTTATTGGTAAACACTGAATTTATCATCCTCATTCCCTGTGACAGTGCCAGGCCACAAATAGGAATGAAAAAAATTTGTGGAATGAACCAATTCCAAACCTTTTGGTTAGTTTATAACAAGTTCCCTCTGTGACTCAACAGTTAGTTTTAAAAAAAAACATTAACCTTATACTGTTTATTATATATACTTCCCATGTCATTAAAGAAGTTTTCAACAAGCATGTATTTTGTAAACATGCGAATAGTCAAGTTTTGGCAAAATGAAAAAAGTGTCACTTTTATAACCCTGAGCTTGAGGCAGGGATAGAAGTGGAAGGGACTATCTGCACTCCTGGGCCCCCACAGATGCCACCTTCCAGTCTGGGCAAAGGACCAGCTTTGGCCTGCCACCCACCATCATACTGGGACTGCCATTATGTACCTGGTGAGGTGGACTTATCTGTTCAGTATTTTCTAATCGGCTAAGTCATTTACCACTTATCTATCTGCTTTTCAACTTTCAAAAACTTGCTGACATTTCTTGTCTTCTGGTATTTTTCTCCTATTCTCTTGGTCCTTATGGGTTTAACCTGTTTTATTTTGTTGCCATCATTTGGCAATATTTCAAGGACAAGGCCTGTTTCAATTTACATCTAAATCCCTCTTCTGCACTTATCCATTCCTTCTCTCTGTGAATCCAGAACACCACTGATCAAGGCCTCCTTGATCCTAGTTTATTTCTCCCCACTTCAGTGCACTTATTTCTTTGGCACATTTAACGTATTTCCAAAGGTAATAAAGTAGCAAAATTCTTTTAAAAAGGAAGGACTTCTCCTGTCCTCCCAAGTGCCAGCCAATATAACCTAACCTGGTTTTATGTGTTAGAGCAGGGGTTAGCAAACTGTATAGCCTGTAAACCAAGTCCAGCCAGCTGCCTATTTTTATATAAAGTTTTGTTGCAACACAGCCACACCCACTTGTCTACATACCATCTATGCCTATTTTCATGCTACATGGTGGGGTTCAGTAGTTGTGACAGAGACCACATGGCCTACAAAGCTGGAAACATTTATCATCTGGCCCTTTACAAAAAAAAAAAAAAAAAGGTTGCCAATCTCTGAGCTAGACGTTCCTGCTAGTTATAGGTACATGTAAAGTATGGACATTTCAGAGAAGTGCGTGCATGGAGACAAAGTATGATTTAAAACCATCTACATCCCACTTGCTGCAAGAACGAACTCAAGGCATGTCCAATGCACATATGTAATGTATCATTTTGCATTCTCACTCACTGATAAAAGTCACCAACACTTCAATCACCCAGCTTTGAACAAATGCCTCTAAGGTAAAGATATTCCATCCAAGGCTGACATATTGGTGTGTCTACCCCACTGTCTGCACTCTTTTCACACTGCTGGTGAACAAAACAAGTCTCACCTCCTCTGCTTTGCTTTTGACCTCTGTAGTTATCTGGTTGCTCTTACGGATCTTCAGCTGTTCCTTGGCTTTCTTCATGTCCTTCTCTACTCGCTGCCAGTCAACCTTGATGTACCCAGTATGGTTTGCAAGCTATAGTTTCAATAATGACAGCAAAAAATAAGAAACACAGGCTTGTTATTTCTGTTCATTATGATTAAATCACTGAAGTACATTATCAAAAACCCTTCTGACTTTCCATTTCTTGAGACATTTGCCATCCAGTTCATTGCATGACAATGACATTCACTCCACATCTACTCAGTATCCACCCAACATGCAAGGCCCTATGCCTGATGCCAGATTGATAGACTGGCCTTCAATGACTGCTGGCAATTTTTACTCTTATTTATACTCTTATCCCTCTCTAGAAAGTTTTAAGTTAGCTTAAAAATATAACACGGTAAGAAGAAAATCAGAATTGAAAGTCAAGATGTAAGGTGAAGAAACCTTACAGACCTTACAGCCAACATAATCACTGTCGGCTCAGAAAGAAATCTTCTAATACATGGCCCCACAGAGATTTCTCAGGAGCAACTTCATATAAGGGGTACTGAGAGAAATACATCCAAATATATGTATAGAATATGCCCACTTCCCTTCATGAAGATAGCAGGCACAAACACTAAAACTCAGTGAAAACAATTTCACTGAGAATATGTGAATAGGATAAAACTTATTTAAATATGTTGTTTTCTGATGGATTGTTACCCCAGGAAGTAAAGAGACTCATTACAGCCCATCAATCAATCTTCATCAATATCACTTCTCTCCACCCAAGTTTTGGTAAGTCATACCTATCTGAATTTCTCAAAATATCTAAAACTAAAACTCTTCTCTCTACAGTCTCCTCATGCATTGTTGCTCTTCCTCTAGTTCCTATTTTAGTTAATGGCGCCATCAACTCATCAGTCACCCAAACCAGGATGGAGAAAATATTTGCAATATAGGTAATAAACAAAACATTACTACTCATAAAAAGTGAAATTGTTCTCCAGATCAGAAAGGAAGGAGCCAAACTGTTGCTATTCACAGACATGTCTGTCTACATAATCTCAAAGAATCCAACCAAAAAACGAACAAGAACTCCTGTATCTAACAAGCGAGTTTAGGCTGGCTGGCAGAGGCCGCACGATGCCTGGAGTCCCTGTAGAAGACGTGAACCAGCAGGAGTTGGTCAGAGCTCTGGCAGCCTGACTCAAGAAGTCTGGGAAGCTGAAAGTCCCTGAATGGGTAGACATGACCCTGTCAGACCCTACGATGAGAACTGGTTCTACACCCGAGCTGCTTCCACAGCACGGCACCTGCACCTCTGGGGTGGCGCTGGGGTTGGCTCCATGACCAAGATCCACGGGGGACATCAGAGAAACAGGGTCATTCCTGGCCACTTCAGCAGAGGCTCCAAGAGCATGGTCCACAGGGTCCTCCAAGCCCTAGTGGGGCTGAAAATGGAGGAAAAGGACCAAGATGGGGGTTGTGAACTGACACCTCAGGGACACAGGGATCTGGACATAATTGCTGGACAGGAGGCAGCTGCCACCAAGAAGCATTAGAACAAACGCTGGGTTAATATACTGCCTCATTTGTAAAAAAAAAAAAAAAAAGTGAGGTTAGCAAGGTTGCAGAACATATAAGATCAACACGCAAAATCAATTGCATTCTTTTTGCTAGCAATCGAAGCAACTGGAAATGGAAATAAAATTTATAATAGCTGTAAAATAAATACTAGATACAAATCTAAACAAAAATCATATAGGATCTGCATGCTGAAAACCATAAAATGCTGAAGAATTTAAAGATGAACAAATAAATGGAGAGGCAGGCCCTGTACATGGAATTGAAGACTTAAAATGATGTCCAATTCTTTCCAAGTTGAGCTACAGAGTTCCTGCAATCCCAATCCCAGCAGAATGCTTTTGCAGATATACAAACAAGCTGGTTCTAAAATGTGCACGGAAAGGCAAAAGACCTAGAACAGCCAAAATGATTTTTAAAAAGAATACAGTTGGAGAAATCATACTATCAGATTTTAGGATTTACTATAATGCTACAGCAATGAAGATGACAGTGTGATATTGGAGAAGGGACAGACACACAGATTAATGGAACAAAATAAAGAGTACAGAAACAGATAACCCAATTTAAAAAATGGACAAAAGATCATGTTGTCAAAAAGGTTCTGTGGGGGGCGCCTGGGTGGCTCAGTTGTTAAGCGTCTGCCTTCGGCTTAGGTCATGGTCCCAGGGTCCTGGGATCGAGCCCCACATCGAGCCTGCTTCTCCCTCACCCACTCCCCCTGCTTGTGTTCCTGCTCTCACTCTCTCTCTGTGTCAAATAAATAAATAAAATCTTAAAAAAAAAAAAAAAAAAAGGCTACCTGGATAGCAAATAAGCATATGAAAAGATGTTCCCTATTACTAGTTGTATCATTCTGAGTCCAACTGGAAGACAGGCTTGGGGCTGAGGGTGAGTGGCCAAGGAAAGCCCCAGTGTAACTGAAGGTATAAGGTATCTAGGAATGAAATCAAGGCACAGTGCAGAAGATGTGTATGAAGAAACATTTTAAAGTCTATGCGAAGACATTAAAGACCAAAATAAATGGAGAGAAAGCACATATTCACAGATGACTCATTTTCACAAAAGGTATTAATTCTTCCCACATTTACCTATATGGTTCCACGTAATTCCAATCAAAATTTCAACAAAATATTTTAAAATAATTGACAAGCCTCTTCAAGCAAAAAGTATAAAAGCAGCCACAGCACTCCTGAAAGGTATGTGGAGGAACCTGTAATACCAACTATCAAGGCTTAGTAAAGGTAGAAAGTTGACCAGTGAAACAGAATAGAGAAACTAGAATCAGATCCAGACATATATGGATTAATATATGATAAATGCCACACTATAAATATTGGGAAAAGGAAGACATTCACTAAATGCTGCTAGGACAAGTATCAGTATGAAAGAAAGGAAACTGGATCCCTACGTCAAATGACATCATGCCTACCCGCCATCATCCTCCCTCTGGTGACCAACAGCATGAGTGCACAGCACTGACTCCCCAGGTCCCACCCACCTCCCCTAGCAAGGAGGCATCCCTGTACTCCTTGAATATCTGACTCATGCAATACCAGAATCCCATTTTGAGAATCTTTCCTGGTGATACTTCCAGTACCAATTGCTTCTGTCAGTCAGGGCCCCCAAAAGAAACAGAGGGTATACTCAGATTAAGATATTTTGTAATGTCGGGGCGCCTGGGTGGCTCAGTTGTTAAGTGTCTGCCTTCAGCTCAGGTCATGGTCTCAGGGTCCTGGGATCGAGCCCCGCATCGGGCTCCCTGCTCGGTGGAGAGCCTGCTTCTCCCCCTCCCGCTCCCCCTGCTTGTGTTCCCTCTCTCGCTGTGTCTCTCTCTGCCAAATAAATAAATAACATCTTTTAAAAAAAGATATTTTGTAATGTATATAAATATTGAATCACTATGTTATACTCCTGAAATTAATATTGTATGTCAATTCTACTTCAAGTGAAAAAAGTTTAAGGTGAAATAAAAAAGATATTTCAAAGGAACATTAATATATTTACAAAGTCAAGTCTGGAGCAGGGTGTAGGGGAAACCACAGGAATAGAAGACTGCACTTCGGCCTGAAGGGGTGAGAGGAAGGAAAGATTACTGCAACCCGGAAGGACAGGGAAAGGTGTGAGGAGGGCCCCCGCCTTGCAGGGAGTCTGACCTGCCAGAGAGACAGAGAGAGGCCCAGACCTGCCCCAGCCCACTCTGCTTATCTAGCTCCAGTCACCTCCTGCCTGTAACTACATTAGACCTGCAGCCACAGGCACCCACCTTACCCTCTCCAAATTCCTGACCCACAGAAACTGTAAGAGATAATAAAATGATGGTTCTTTTGAGATTAGGTTTTGAGGGAATTTGTTGTGTGGCAATACTATACCCAACTCGCCCCAGCCCTGGCCACCACCCCGGCCTGCCAGTCACCAGCCTCCTCCTCCTACACATTTAACTTTCACCTGAGCCATCTGGGAAAATCACTCCACCTGCGGTTCGAAGATAGCACTTACCCCGCTAAAATGAGGACTGTCAACTGTAGGAGACAAAGGGCTATGAATTCGGAGACCGTGGCACAATTCAAAAAGTTATGGCTCCTACAGAGCATTGGTTCTCAAACTCTGCTCCACATCAGAATCATCTCAGGAGTTTAAAAATACTTAGATGTGAGGGTGCCTGGGTGGCTCAGTCAGTGAAGCATCTGCCTTCGGCTCAGGTCATGATCCCAGGGTCCTGGGATCCAGCCCCACGTCGGGCTCCCTGCTCAGTGGGGAGCCTGCTTCTCCCTTTCCCTCTGCTACTCACCCTGCTTGGGTTCTCTCTCTGTCAAATAAATAAATAAAATCTTTAAAAAAATACTTAGATGTGCAAGCACACCTTCCACCTATGAAATCAGGTGGGGGGGCGGTACGAGGCAGGCCCCAAGCATTAGTGTTTTTTAAACTCCTTAGGTAATTCCAACATGGAGTCAAGTCTGCAAAGCAATGCTACAATGCAGCCTCAGAGAACCAATACCTAGTAGTTCTGAAATAAACTCTGGGCCAAACAGACAAAAGAGGACATCAGATTGGACTGTCATTTAGCCCTCATTTCTCACTGACTGCTCTGGGATCAATGTCCCCTATGTAAAATAAATCCTATCACAGGGCATTTGCATAACTTCATATTTTTGAAATCACATTTGTTTAACATTTCAACTGGTCTCAAAAACCCAAAGGAGCTATGATAAGGAATATGTACTATGTCCCCATGTTATAGATTATGAAACAAAATGTGACTACTAACTGATGAAATTTGATTCAAATGGTCACTAGCATTTCAAATAGTACACTGAAAATAAGTGCAAAGGCTATTCTAGTGTAATATAGCCAAGACTATATATACATTCTTAATTGGCAAGGGGGATTTCCAAACATCTAGGAGTATTTCACATACAGACCTGAAGGAGAAAAAATCCACCTCCCACAGCTGTTGCAGCCAACTTTCCAACCTTTTGGAATATGAAACCCGTGCACCTACAAAAACCAAACCAACAACAGACAAGTTGACAGGCTGTCAAATGCATACAAACATGTACTTCTAACAATGTTCAGATCCTACTTACCTTGGGATCCTCCTTCCCACTCTTACATGATATAAGCAGAGAGCAGAGGCTCAGAAAGACCCTGATTCAAATCTTGGCTCTACCACTTACTAATTTTGTGGTCTTGAGCAAATCCCTTAAAACTTTCAGGTTGCACTTTAATTTTTTTTTTAAGGTTTTTAAAATTTGTTTATTTGAGAGAGAGCACAATCAGGGGGAGGGGCAGATGGAAAAGCAGACTCTCCGCCAAGCAGGGATCCAGGGACTCTGGGATCATGACCTGAGCTGACGGCAGACACTTCATCAACTGAGCCACCCTGGCACCCCTGGGTTGCACTTTAAAAGATGACTCTGGCTACATTGTGGAGAAGGGATTCCACGGGGAAAGCATAAAGGCAAATATCCTCCCAGGAAATTAAAAAACATGAGGGGACCAAACTCTGCAAACTAGTAAGTGACTCTGGCAAGACTGCAGTATAAAAGAGCAATATACAAAACTCAATTGTGTTTCTATATATAAGCAATGAACAATTAGAAATTTAAAATTTAAAAATACCATTTACAATAGGCGGGAAGCCTGCTTCTCCCTCTCCCACTTCCCCCTGCTTGTGTTCCTGCTCTCGCTAACTCTCTCTCTCTCTGTCAAATAAATAAATAAAATCTTAAAAAAAAAAAACTGAGTTGGGACAACTGGGTATTCCACATGAAAAAAAAAAGAAAGGAATCTACTACAAACTAACCACAAAAAACAATTCCAGGTGGATTTATAAATGTAAATGTGAAAGATAAAGTAATAAAGTTCTAGCATATGGGGTAGGCAAAGATTACTTAAACAGGCCCCCAAAATTACTAACCTAAAGGTAAAGATCCATAAAATTGACTACATTAAAAATAAGATCAGTTCATCAAAAGATACCAAAAGGCAAATGAAGACAATCACAGAATGTAGAATGAGTGAAAATATCCGTAAAACGTACAACCAACAAAGGACTCCTATTCAGAATATATAAAGAACTCTTATAATGCAGTAAGAAAAAGAATGACAACAGAAAAATTACATAAGATTAAAAATGAGACTTTATCAAAAAAGAGACCGAAAATGATCAAGAAACATAGGTAAAAGTTATTCAATATCACCACTACTCAGGAAAATGTAAATGAAAACCATGTGAGATACAACTATCAGACAAGCAAAAATTTAAGTCTGGCAATATTAAGTGCTTACAAGAATGCAGAGCATCAGGAACACTCAATCCTTGTTGTTGGGAGGGTAAACTGTTACAACCGCTTTTGGAAAGCAGTTTGACATAACCCAGCAAAGCCAAAGATACTTATGTCCCATGACCTAGCATTTCAACTCCTAGGTAAAAATGTGCGTATACACACACCAGGAAATTTATACAGTGTTCATATCAGCATTGTTTAAATTAGCCAAAAATGGAATCAACTCAAATGTCAGTCATCACCTGGGTAAAAATACTGTGGTATATTCATGCAATGAAATTCTATATATAAACAAAAACAAAGAAACTACAACTACATACAAAACAAAATTGAGCAAAAAAGGTAAGACTCAAAAGAATATACATAATTGCATTTATTTAAAGTTCAAAAGCAGGTAAACTATATTATTTACTGATAGAACTGGTGTTAAAACTACAAAGAAAAGCAAAGAAATAACTGCATAATAATCAGTACAGCATTTATCTCTAGAGTTTTTGGGGTGCTAATCATTTTTTTAACCTGTGTGGTTGTTACATAGGTGTCTGCTCTATATATATTCATTAAAATGTACACATATGTACTGCTCTGTATTTATATTATCTTGTACAATAACATTTTTAAATGTAAAAAGTAGAGATGAGATTGATGCATTATATATTCCTCACTAAATCTGCTATTAAACTTTTTGAATTTATTACAAATGACGCCATAAGCTGTGTCACAATTGAGGAAGTTATTGGCTACCTCCTAATTATACAACTTTCTATCCATGTGGTCCTGGGCCTTTTGAGCCTGAGTTCCTATAAAATAAGCATAATTACAGTACCAATTTCAGAGTGGCTGTGAGAAGAAAATGAGATATCTATATAAATACTAAAATATTTGTGTATTTTTGTGTTCTCTACTTCTCGGTGTGGAGAAAAGTGAACTCTTATATACTCTTAGTGGAACTGTAAATTGGTACAGCCATTGTGAGAAACCATATGGAGGTGTCTCAAAAAATTAAAAACAGGGCGCCTGGGTGGCTCAGTTGGTTAAGCATCTGCCTTTGGCTCAGGTCGTGATCACGGAGTCCTGGGATAGAACCCTACATACGGCTCCCTGCTCAGTGGGGAGCCTGCTTCTCCCTCTCCCTCTGCCATTCCCCCGCTTGTGCTCTCTGGCTCTCTCTCTCTGTCAAATAAAGAAAATCTTTAAAAAAAATTAAAAATAGAACTATCATAGAGGATCCAGCAATTCCACTTCGGGGAATATATCTAAAGGAAATAAAAACACTAACTCAAAAAGATATCTGCACCCCCACATTCATTGCAGCACTATTTACAATAGCCAAGTCATGGAAACAACCTAAGCGTACATCAGTGAGTGAATGGATAAACATGTGATATATACACACACACCATGGAATATTATTCAGCCATAAAAAACGAAATTCTACCGTTTGTGACAACATGGATTGACCCTGAAGAACTTACGCTGAGTGAGAAGTCAGACAAAGAAAGACAAATGCTGTATGATCTCAGTTATATATGCAATCTAAAACAAACACAAAACTCATAGAAAAAGTGATCAAATTTGTGGTTACCAGGGGCAAGGGGTTGGGGGAGGGGGAATTAGATGAAGGTGGTCAAAAGGTACAAACTTCCACTTAGAAGTAAGTATCAGGGAGGTAATGTACAATGTGATGACTATAGCAACCACTGCTGTATGGTATATAAGAAAATGGTTAGGAGAGCAGATTCTGAGAGTTTTAATCACAAGAAGACAATTTTTTTCTTCTCTTTTTATTATATATGTATGAGATGATGAATGTTCACTAAACCTACTGTGGTAAACATTTCACAATATATGTAAATCAAATCATCATGCTGTATACCTTAAACATACAGTGATATATATTTCTTGATAAAACTGGAAGAAAAATGAGAACAGTCAATCCAGTACCAATTCAATCCAGTGCCAATTTCAGAGTTGTTGTGAGAAGGAAATGAAATACATAAATACTTAAAATAGTGCCTGGCATATAATAAATACTATGTTTAGAAGAATGCTACATATTAAGTGATCAATTTCACAAAAGTCAATGTGTTTTCATTACTTAAGGAGATTGTTCCTGTAACTGCAATACTAAATCATGCAAAAAAAGACACTGGACATCTTTTTCATCACTTACCATCCAGTGACACCTCCAATTAACAGCTGGGTTGCCACGCTGTATTTTTCAGCTGAGGGCCCAGATTCCTGCCCAAACAGCTTGCGCCACCATGGCTGCTTTTTAGCAAATTCTGCAAGGTCCAGTGACTCAAAGTTTCCTACAAGAATTAAGATACTGAATAAGAAAATATTTACTTTTACAATAAATCACAGTTCTTAACTAGATTAAGAGATTTTTAAGGAAATGGGTACTGTACTAAGAACCTGCAAATATTCTATTTTAAACGGCAAATTAACTCTGAAATTGTGGCTAGCGACTTGAAAATCAGACTAAAATCAACAAATAGTATCTGTCTTAAAGAAAAAAATAACTAGACAATTTAGAATTAGTACTCTAGTTTTTCCTCTCAAATTTAAAAACAACCAATGGATGTACAAAATCTGATAGTAATAATAATGTATCCTAAATGAAATGGATTTTCTTCATTTGCCTCTCCTTTTCAAGAATATGTCAATACTATTTAGCTCACAAATTCACAAATTCTTACCACTATATGGATCTCCACTGATAATAAAGATAAAAGGTAATGTTCAACTGAGCTGTTACTATTTACCAGGCAATGTGCTAAACAATAAACATGTATACTTAATTAAATCCACAGAACATAGTAGGTACAAAACAAGGTACTATTTATTAATCCCACTTTATAATTAAGAAATGGTAGCTCAGAGGTTGATTTGCCCAAGAAAGGAAAAAGAGTTAACAAAATGTCTAATCCCTTTCTCTGTGGGAAGATAACGTAGGGATAAATTTAATGAATGATGCGCAAGACCTCTACACTGTAAAGAACAAAACACTGAAGAGAGAAAGTGAAGATGACTGAAATTAATGGAGATACATACTTTGTTTTGCAAGGCAGTATTTTTAAGATGTTCATTCTCTCCATATCCATCTACAGACTCAATGCCATTCCAGTCAAAAAGTACATTTTTATTTAGAAATTGACAAGCTGGTTCTAAAATTTATATGAAGATGCAAAGGACTACCTAGAGTAGTGTTCCAGTTACTATGGCAAATTACCCCAAAATGTCATGGAGCTAAACAATAATTTATTATGCTCTTAGATTCTGTGGATCAGGATTCAGACAGAATATGGCATTACAGTCCATTCCTACTCCATGATGTCTGAGGATTCAGCTGGAAGACTTACAGGCAGAAGGTCTGCAATCATCTCCTACATTCACATATACAGGCTGCCTCTCTATGTGGGTTAATTTGGACTGCCTTACAGCATGGTGCCTAGGCGCAAGGGTGCATCCCAAGGGAGGCAGTGAGAGATCAGGGAGGCAGCTGAAGGACTAAGCAGAAGGTGCTATTTAAGACCTAGCCCCAGAAGCCATGCAGTGTTACTTCCACCACATTCTGTAGAATCAGTCACAAACTCCCACAAAGTTTCAGGAGGGAATACATAGATCCCATCACCGAGTGGGAGCAGTGTCAGAGTCACACTGAGAAAAGAGCAGGTGGAATGAAGGATACAATGTGCCACAAGTGGTCAAAACAGTTTTGGAGAAAAAGAACAAAGTTTGGGGTGCCTCGGTGGCCCAGTCTGTTAAGCCTCAGATTCTTGGTTTCAGCACAGGTCATGCGTGGTCTCAGGGTTGTGAGATTGAGCCCCGTGTGGGAGTCCACGCTTATCAAGGAGTCAGCTTGGGATTCTTTCCCCATCTGCCCCTCCCCATGTACTCCTTTCCCCCCTTCCCACCTGCTCGCTGGACCGCGCTTTCTCTCTCTCAAATAAATAAATAAATCTTTAACAACAACAACAACAAAGAACAAAGTTCAAGGAATTTCAAGACTTCTTACAAAGCTACAGAGGAATACAGCTACCTAACGTCGACTTATAAAGCAACCATATTTGACAGTGTAGAACTGACACACATATATGAATGGAAGAGAATAGAGAGTCCACAAGTAGATGTACACATAGCCATTCGATTTTCAATAACACGGCACCAAGGCAATTTAATAGGGAAGGAGTGTTTTCAACAAATTGTGTTAGAACTACTAGGTATCTGTACTAAAAAAAATGCAATCCCTACCTTATATCATACACAAAATATAATTCAACATGGATCATAGATCCCAATTTAGCAGAACCAAAATATGGATGTTTGAGGAAGTACGTATCCTATGGGTTCACAAGTAGCTACATGAAAATTATTTTTCTAATGTAACAACATTAGACACCAGTACAAAAGAACACTAAAACATTACTGCTGTGTTGAAGAAGTTGTCTCCCTGGGTTAAAGAATATCACTGAAAACAAGAACGGAAAAAAAAAAAACCCACCAAGAATGAGTTTTGAGGTTTGTGTTGTGTTTTTTTTAAGATTTATTTATTTTAGAGAGGGGCGGGCGAGGGGCAGAGGAAGAGGGAGCAGGAAAGAATCTCTGGCAGACTCCCCGCTGAGCACAGGGATGGACGCTCTGCCGGCTGGATTTCAGGGCTCGGATTTCAGGGCTCAATTTCACGACCCTGAGATCACTGACCTGAGCTGAAATCAGGAGTTTGACGCTTAACCCACAGCGCCATCCAGGCGCCCCTGAGTTTTGTTTTAATGTAATTTTACCAAGCCCCTCAGCTCAATTGGAGGCTCCAGTCAAAAGGGGGATCAAATCAGAGACGTTTAGTTCATCGAACTTCAGTTATTCAACAAACACTGTTAACCAGTATGTAGACAAAAGTCATTTAGCCTTGTTTATGGGTCCAGGAAATCAATTATCACAGTGTTATGTGTTCATCACCATGATAAAGATTGAAATTTATGATGCCTACCTCAAAATTTCTCACAACCATTTCCTAGAAGCAAATATTTAATCAACCTATATATTTTAAGTGAATGAAGGCAGTGTACTCTGCAAGAAAATAATTACATTGTGCATTCCAACCCCTTAGTCACTTAAACTCGGTGGGGTGCTGGTCAATGATTAACAACCGGCTGCGGGTGATCTGTAGTGTACATCAATTTCCACGATGTATTCACTCCCTGCGAGTGTGACAGCATGGAACTGTGACATCACTGAACGCAGGGTTGGAAAAAGATGCACAGTATCATACCACACTGCTATTTCCATTACACGGACAGCACAGATGTAAATAACGTCAGGAGCATAGATAACAGCATACCATAGCAGACAATTAAGAAGTGATGAATTGTGAATACCTTCACTGCCTTTGTTTTTAACATAATTTAAGTAATTTTAGGTTTATATAATTGGGTTTTCGATGATGGCTGTGTTTAGCAATGGGATCTTGTGAACCAATCCTGAATTAATTAGTAGGGAAAGAAGCATGATTTAAAGTCATGCTCCTCTGTGTATTTTATTATAGGGCATCTTCTTTGACTACGCGGACTGAATATAAAAACTATTTCAAAGTACAATCCCATGTGTACTACTCTTTCAAAACCATCAACAGCACAAGAGAAGGCTCCTTTGCACACAGAAGAGGCTTGCCAGGTGTTTGAGATGAACGGTCAAAAGAAGTCGCTTTAGTCTCAAAGTGCCAGAGCGCTTCCGAGAACCAGGACAGAATGTCTCCGAGTTGAGGCTGTTCGGGGCGGCGCCGGAAGGCCGACTGAGCCCCAGAGACAACACCCCGGGGCAGTTCAGTCCCAGCCCGGCGCCTGACCTTGGCCGGACCCTGGGAAGCGGCTGGGTCAGGGGCGAGACTGGCACGCCCTCCCCGCCCGTGCACTGCCAGAACTCCCGGGGGAACTCTGCTGGGACCCGCAGGCGCGGAGCCCTTCCCCTTCCGGAGCTGGGAAAGGCGGCTCTCCGTGGCGCCGGCGCTGCGCGCGCCCGTCCTTACCTTTACTGGATGCGGCCATTTCGGCGAGTTTGTCTCGCGATGACAGCCGCAGGGTTTGGGCGCGGTAGGACGCGGAGTGGCGCGCCGTCATCACCGCAAGCTGGCTTCCGGCACGTGGGGCAGATGTTTCCATTCCCACGGCGGCAGCGGAAGAGGGCGGGCCGAGCGCCTAGCTGTCTCTTCCCACCCCCGCGCGTAGCTGCGTCACAAGGCTCCGCGGCCCCGCCCAGCAGGTACGCCGAGACGGGCGTGCACAAAGAGCCTGCTCTGACGGAGGCTCTCACCTAGAAGATTTGAGACGCGACCGCCACCTTGCCGTTCCCTAGTAAGGACTCTTTTACCCATTACTTTATTTAAAAATAAAGCTGGTTTGCGGTGTTAGTTCATGTAAACGTTGAGCAAATACTTATCAGTGCTTGCTATGTGCCCGACTTTGTTCCAGTAGAGAAAGTCAGGCACTTAAAAAACCACTGCAATAAGTAAGAATGCCTTTGGAGCCATTTAACCATGTTTCAGGGCACGTCTCCCCACTCCACCCCACCCCTAAGCTACTCCTCTCGCCCTCACGCTATCCCAGTTAATGGCAAGTTCACCATTCCAATAACTTTGGTCTTAATTTTGAACGCCTCTCTCAATGCTACAAATCCAGTTCATCAGCAAGCCCCATAGATACCGCTTCACAGTGAATCCAGCCATTTCTTAGCCCAGCTCACAATCATTTCTTGCCCGAAGTTAACAGGTCGATCTGCTCCTACCCTTATCCGCCTAAAGTCTGTTCTCTCCACCTCGGCCAGAAAGATTGGTCTAAAAGGTAATTCTGATCACAGCCCTCCTCTACTCAGAAGCCTACCATGTCTCCCTATTGTCCTCAGTAGAGAAGCCAAACTCCTTTTGCTGAACTGTAACCTACTCGGTGAGATTTTCCATGACCATCCTCCTTTAAAATTGCAGCCTGGTATATCCTGCCTTCCCCTGCTTACTTTCCTTTTGTGCACAGCACTTATTTCACCTTATAACATACTGTATGAGGTACTTATGTGTGATAAGTATTAATTACATCAGTTGCTTGTATTTTTCAATGCTGTGTATCCAGTGCATGGAAGTATAGCATAGGAGTTTGGAGCATGAGTATGGAGTCGGATTACATGGGTTGGAATGCTACCATTTGGCAAACTGTGATCTTGGCCAAGTTGCCTAACCTCTCTGTGCTTCAGTTTCATCACCTGTAAAATGAAGACAAGAATAGCAGCTGCATTAAAGTAACTTACAGCAATTCCTGGCATATAGTACATGCTAGCTATTATTTCTGCATCCTGGTGGGTGACAGAGAGAAGGTCTCAGCAAATGTTTATGAAAGGGACTTCTTCCTGCTTGTTTCCAAGCTGGACAACACCTCACCAGTTGCTCCTAGGCACATTCATACTTCTGCAGAACTGGACTCTTAGTGATAACATTTTTTATAGCAACCCTGGTCAAGTTTCTTCTTATTATCTCCTATACTTTGAGGCCCTCATTCCCCCTGATAAACATTAACCTGAGTAGGGGCTCTGCTTGAGCTCAGCAGGGCTACATATTGATGTAAGGAGATCTATCCTATACCTGGGACAAACACAAACAACGTTAAGAAGCATCACGTAACAACAATGCAATATAAATAAATACATGAATGCTGAATGGTTATGAGTGCTACATAGAAAAATGAAGCCAGGAGGGATATCAGTACTGCCAGTGGGGGTAGAGAGCTTACAATGTAAATGTGGTGGTTCATATTTAAGCTCATTGCGAAGGCAGGATTTGAGTCAAGACTTGAAGGAGATGTGAAAGTGGAAATGTATGGCGATCTGGGGAAAAGATGTTTCAAGTAAAGGGGATAGCAAGTGCTAAGGTCTAAGTGCAAGAGTGTGCTTGGTTTTTAAGGAAGAGCAAGAAGGCCAGTAGCCATAGTGACGTAAGACCACAGAGGTCTGAAGGAAAAGGACATGCAGATCATGGGAGATGCTCTAGGCCATGGTAAAGACTTAGGATTTTACTCTGAGGTCAGAAGCCAGTGGAGGGTTCTGAGTGAAGGAGTGACACGATCTACTTTATAGTTTTAAAAAGTCACTCGGTGGCTGTGTGAGGGGCAAGGGTAGAAACAAGGAGACTATTAGAATACTGGTTACTCTTGTTTGTGCAAGTGGATTCCAGAATTTCCAACAACATCCAGAGCTGCTTTTGCTGCTCCTCTTCACCTTGACCTCTCCTTCTCTCTCTTCCTTTCCTTAAAGGTTCTGATGAAAGCAGCATTCTTGTGCCCTTAGTACTCTCAAAAGTGAATGGGTTAATATTTAGCTCCACCTCTCTTTTCCTGTGGCTGCTTTCCACTGCTAAAAAGGAAGCAATCTTATCTGTTACTGCTTACTGCTGATGCTGCTGTAACATCCAGCAGGTAAAGTTCCCTAAAATTCACAGCAAAAATTTTGGGACTTTTCACTAAATCATAGAAAATTTACCTTTTTTTTCCCCTGGGAGCTGAAGATATTTTAGAGAAGAATTAATCTTTTGTTTCTCCAGTTGAACATTTTTTAGCAATACGAGCCATGCAAACAGAACTCTCTACCTGCTTCTTTCTGTGCCTTTTGCCATTCAGCTTTAGTGCCACCAGAAGATACTACCTGGGTGCAGTGGAACTGTCCTGGGACTATATGCAAAGTGAACTGCTCAGTGAGCTGCACGTGGACACAAGGTAAAGGCACGTTCTATAGGGTCCGGTCAGGATTGTGAGGATGTGACTGTTTGGAGGAAGGTGCAGATGTCAGGTTAGGATGGTTGTGATGGTAGTTAAGCACTGAAAAAGCACTATCGAGGTAAGGTATGAGTGCTTATTGCCAGTCCTTTTCACAGATGTGAACTATTTGTGGATATGTTGTTATGTTGTGTCCATTGCTTCTCTTTGTCACATGCTGCCACTTTGGAAACTAGACAGTGGAGGGAGAACCAAGAGGCAAGGAGCCTGAGAGAAAACAAAACCTCCCTCAGCCTACCTCCAAGCTTCCATACAGAGAAACAGAACAATGAGATCCCATCAGTATTACACACAACTTTAATCTGTAGTTCTCCTGTGTGGGTGTGGTGTGGTTTTGATACTTTTGCCCAGGTTTGGTTTAAGAATGGTATTAGCCAGGGGCGCCTGGGTGGCTCAGTCGTTAACCGTCTGCCTTCGCAGGGTCCTGGGATCGAGCCCCACATCGGGCTCCCGTCGGCGGGAGGCCTGCTTCTCCCTCTGCCACTCCCCCTGCTTGTGTTCCCTCTCTCGCTATGTCTCTCTCAATAAATAAATAAAATCTTTAAGGAAAAAAAAAAAAGAATGGTATTAGCCATGAGTTCAGAAGCTTTTCATCTTTTTTGGGTTCCAATACATTTGGGGAGACTAGTATTAAATGATTTTTTCAATATTATCTATGATCATCGATTTATTTGGGTTTTTCTGCCTCTTCAGTCAAATTTCGTTATATATATTTTTCTAGAAAGCAGTCTAGATTTTTCTGAATTTGAGAATGTATTGCTATCAAGTCACATACTAGTCTTGTGATGTTCAACTATTCTGTGTCTGTAATTATATTTCCTTTTTCATTCTTATATTATGTAAGTCCTCTTTCACTCTCTTAAAAATAATGTTTCTAGGAAGTTTCTCAATTTTGTTGATCTTGTCAGGAACCATCTTTTGTTTCTATCAATTTCTGCTTTTACTTTCATTAATTCATTCCTTCTTCCTGATTTCCTTTGGTTCATTTTGCTGATCTAGTTTTGCTTATTGAATTGAATGCTGAAATCATTTATTTTAATTTTGTTTTGTTTTCTTTAAATGTGTATTATAAAGATTTAACCCCAGTACATATATAATGGCGATGTAAATATTAAATGTGATCATGTCATACGCTACAGTCTTTTTTTTGTTCTGTTTGGCTCCCCATCTTCCTTCTACATTAGCCCCCTTCTTGCCTATTCCCAAACAAATAACCCTAGTATGATAATATATACTCATGCACACACACATATATATATGCAAATAAAGGTTTTCTCGGTCATTCTTGTTTTACAAAAATGGGATATTACACACACGTTTCTCTCTCGTTAGCACCTAGTAGAATTCTAAGTCAGTTAGCATAGCTTCATTTCATTTTTCTTTTTATTTTAGAGAGGGACTGGAGGGGAGGGCAGAGGGAGAGAGAGAGGATCTTAAGCAGGCTCCACGCCTAGCGTCCACCCTGAGATCATGACCTGAGCCTAAATCAAGAGTTGGACACTTAACCAACTGAGCCACTGAGCCAGGTGCCCCAATTCATTCATTTTAATGACTACATAAGATTCTGTATTATTTCCACTTTTTGGTCATTCATTACACACTGGTGCTTTTATTCCTATGGGACAGATTCTCAAGAGGGATATTACTGGAATGAAGGGAATAATTTCCAGAAAGGCCAGAACTCTTCAAACATTTCTACTGTCAACATATGCGAGTGCCCTTCTCCCTGTTCTCATATCAATAAGTTTTATCTTGTTCTTCTAATTTTTGCCAATTTAGTTAGGTATAGAGTGATGCTGCATTGTTAATTGCATTCCTTTTATTTCTTAGGTTGAACATCTTTTCAAATGCCCGTTGGCTATTGCATTTATATTTTGAGATTTGACTATTCATATGTTTTGCCCATTTTTCTTTGGACTATTTTACTTTTTTAATTACAAAAACCCTTTTATTATCACAAATGTTAACTATTTGTTATACTGCATTAACATACTAGTGTATAGTGCAATTTCCCCCCAAGACCTATTGTTTACTGACTTGTTCATAACTTTTACTAAAATTTAAAAAAAAATTTATAGTCAAATATATCTGTCTTTTCTTTCATATCTTCAGAGTGGCCAGTGTTGGTTAAAAATGTTTTCTGCCTGGGGCACCTGGGTGGCTTAGTTGTTAAGCGTCTGCCTTTGGCTCAGGTCATGTTCCCAGGGTCCTGGGATCGAGCCCCACATCGGGCTCCCTGCTCCGTGGGAAGCCTGCTTCTCCCTCTCCCACTCCCCCTGCTTGTGTTCCTTCTCTTGCTGTGTCTCTCTCTGTCAAATAAATAAAATCTTTAAAAAAAAAAAAAGTTTTCTGCGTATCAAGGTTGTATGTGTATTTCCCAAATTTTCTTGTTTTGTTTTTTACATTTCATTCATCTGATAATTATTTTTATATATGGTATAGAAGTGGGATCTGTGTAGTTTTATTTCCATCTAGATCAATAGCCTATGGCAATGGCACCATTTATCAAATAATACATCTTTTACTACTGATTTGAATAAACCCATTCATCATATAAAATTTTCATACATACTGTTATGTATTTCTGGATGCATTATCCTTCTTCATTGAACTACTTTACTTTTGTCTTGCTATGCCAATACCATACTGATTGGATTACAATGGGTCTATTATATCTTCTGATATCTGGTAAGTGAAATCAGTCCTCGCTGCTCTTTTTTTTTTTTTTTTAACCTTTCTTAGCATTTTTTTTTTTTTAAGATTTTTATTTGTTCATTAGAGAGAGAGAGAGCATGTGTGCAGAAGCCAGGGAAGGGGGGAAGGCGGAAGGAGGGGGAGAAGCAGACTCCCTGCTCAACAGGGAGCCCAGTGTGGGGCTTGATCCCAGGACCCTGGGATCATGACCTGAGCTGAAGGCAGACGCTTAATGACTGAGCCACCCAGGCACCCCTACCTTTCTTAGCATTTCTTAGGCATTTTATTCTTCCATATAAAAATTTTAAATTTTCTTCCAATTAAAAAGAGCCAAGTCCTATTGTGATTTTAATTGGAATTTTATGAAACTTTTATTAATATAATGTAAGCAGTTTATTATATTTATCTCTATGCATTTTATAAATGTGTTGCCATTGTTAATAAAATATTTTCTCTTATTTCTATTTCTTGATGTTTAGTACCAGAATAAAGAAAACTATCTGTTTGTTTATATTCATGTTGAATCTAGCTACCTTACAGAATTCTGTTATTAATTCTAGTAATTTTACACTAGAGTCTCTATGAGTATTGAATCTTACCTAAAATGAGCAAAATGAGACAGATTATAGCTCTTTTCCAATGTTTATAACCTATTCTTTTTTATCTTACTGAATTTACTAGAAAATACAAGAAAATGTTAAATATTAGTGATGAAAGCAAGCATTCCTATCTACTCCATGATTTTACTTGAAGTAGTCTTAATATTTGGTTATTCAGAATAATATTTGCTGTTTGTTTTTCATAAATAGTCTTTGTTACTTCTATTCCAATTTGCCATAAATTTTTTTTAAAGATTTATTTATTTTAGAGAGATAGAGTGAGCGAGCATGAGCCAGAGGAGGGGCAGAGGGAGAGAGAGAATCCTGAAACAGACTCCCTGCTGAGCATGGAGCCCAGCGTGGGGCTCATGGGGCTCGATCCCATGACCCTGAGATCATGATCTGAGCAGAAATCAAGAGTTAGCCACTTAACTGACTGACCCACCCAGGCGCCCTGCCATAAAATGTTTTATTAGAAATGACTTCAACATCTCATATCATCTAAGTTTTACTTTTTAATATGTTGATTGACAAATGGATTATGTTTATAGATTTCCTGATATTGAATAAGCTTACATTCTTGGAGTACAATCTAATATTCCTATAATTTGATTATTGCTAATATTTCTTTGAACAATGAATATTTCTTTGAACAATACCACCCTTTGACAGCTCAGCTGGTAGAGCAGAGGACTATAGAGGTAAACACTGTGTGCCTTTATTATGTGAGATTAATCTATAGCTTTATTTTTGACTATTACTAGATTTTGGTATTAAAATTTTACTGGTTTTTTCATAAGTAAATTTTCTTTTCTGGGTATGATAGACAGTTAAAAGGACCTCACTAACTATTTTGTGTTTACTTTTTATATGTGTAAAGCTTTGCAGTAGCTTTTAAAGTGTAATTTATTTTTATATCGAGTGCACTATTCTTCACTGTGTTCCGCAGTTTTATATGACTTGTATTAGAAGCACTGCACTGCACTGAGTTGTTTGTACACTGACCTGAGAACCGTAGATGTGACCACAAATAAAGCTTTTGTGAAACATAAAAAAAAAAAAAAAAAAATTTACTGGTTTTATCAAATGAATTGATGAGTGCTCCATCTTTTATAGCTCAAATAACATTAGAATTATCTATTGTTTAATAATTAGAAAAGGGGAGCCTGGGTGGCTCAGTCAGTTGAACAGCTGCCTTTGGCCCAGGTCATGATCCCGGGGTCCTGGGATCGAGCCCCACGTTGGGCTCCCTGCTCGGCAGGGAGCCTGCTTCTCCCTCTCCCTCTGCCCCTCATCCCCCTGCTCGTGCTCTCTCTCTCTCTCAAATAAATAAATAGAATCTTTAAAAAATAAATAAAAGGTAAGACTCATTTATGAGTCTATTTGCTCCGGGTGACATTTGCAATATTTTTAATCATCTCTTCCGGCTCTTCTATGAAAATTAGTTAAATCAAGTTTCAACTTTTTTTGAAGTCAGCTTTAATTTTATATTTGTACAGGTAATCACTTTATTTTTTCAATTCTGTTGCCACATTATCTAAATTATATGCCTTTTCTTTTTTTTTTAAGATTTTATTTATTTATTTGACACAGAGAGAGAGATAGCAAGAGCAGGAACACAAGCAGGGGGAGTGGAAGGGGGAGAAGCAGGCTTTCTGCCGAGCAGGGAGCCAGATGCGGGGCTCGATCCCAGGACCCTGGGATCATGACCTGAGCCGAAGGCAGACGCTTAACGGCTGAGCCACCCAGGCGCCCTGCCCTTTCTTTTTCTTAAATTACTATCTCTTTGCTATTTATCTTTTATCCACAAACAGGTTTGTAAGGGATTTGTCTATTTTGTTGTTGGTGATGTTCTTTTCAAACAATGAGCTTCTAAGTTTCTTTGTTTTTCCCAGTTATTTTTTTAAAGATTTATTTATTTATTTATTTGAGAGCACAAGTAGGAGGGGCAGAAGGAGAGGGAGAGAGAATCTGCAGCAGGTTCCCTGCTGAGCGCGGAGCCCGACATGGGATTTGATCTCACGACCCAAGCTGAAACCAAGAGTCGGATGCTCAACCAACTGCGCCACCCAGGCACCACCCACCCCAGTTATTTTTTAATATTTATTTTTAGATTTTATCTTTTTCAACGATCTCTTATTTTCTTTTGGCTTATTGTGCTGTATTTTTTCTAATACCTTAGGAAAAGTGATGTTATAAAAAAAGGAAAAGTGGTGTTATTTTTCTTTTGTCCTCTGTTTTTAATAGTGAAGGCATTTAAAGCTATACGTTTTTCTCTGAGAACAATGTTTGCGTATCACACAGGTTATGATATGAAGTTTTCTTTTCATTATTTACAGTAGTTTGTAATATCCTCTTGGATTTCATTTAGGATCATGATTTTTTTCTTTTTCTTTTTCTAAAGTTTCTATTTAAATTCCAGTTCATTAACATACAGTGTGATGTTAGTTTCAGGTGTACCAGTATAGTGATTCAACACTTCTATTCAATACCCGATGCTCATCACCATAAGTGCCCTTCTTAATCCCCATCACCTATTTAATACATCCCCCCACACTCCTCTCCTCTGGTAACCATCAGTTTGTTCTATGTAGTTAAGATTCTGTTTCGTGGTTTGTCTCTCTTCTTTTTTCTTTCCTTTGCTTGTTTAATTTCTTTTTTTTTTTTAAGATTTTATTTATTTATTTGACAGAGAGAGACACAGCGAAAGAGGGAACACAAGCAGGGGGAGTGGGAGAGGGAGAGGGAGAAGCAGGCTTCCTGCTGAGCAGGGAGCCCGATGTGGGGCTTGATCCCAGGACCCTGGGACCATGATCTGAGCCGAAGGCAGACGCTCAATGACTGAGCCACCCAGGCGCCCGCTTGTTTAATTTCTTAAATCCCACATATGAGTGAAATCATATGGGTATTTGTCTTTCTCTGACTGACTGACTTCACTTAGTATTATATTCTCTAGCTCCATCCATGTCACTGCAAATGGCAAGATCTCATTCTTTTTGATGGCTCTGTTTTATATATACACACACACACACACACACACACACACACACCACATCTTTATCAGTCAATGACACTTGGGCTGTTTCCATAATTTGGCTACTGTAGATAATACTGCTATAAACATAAGGGTGCATGTATCCCTTTGAATTAGTATTTTTGTATTTGGGTACATACCTGGTAGTGCAATTGCTGGGTCATAGGGTAGTTCTATTTTTAACTTTTGAGGAACCTCCATACTGTTTTCCACAGTGGCTGCACCAGTTTGCATTCCCACGAACAGTTTACCCTTTTCCCACATCCTCACCAACACCTGTTTCTTGTGTTGTTGATTTTAACCATTCTGACAGGTGTGAGGGGATATCTCAGTGTAGTTTTGATTTGCATTTCCCTGATTATGAGTGATGTTGAGCATCTTTTCATGTGTCTGTTGGCCATCTGGATGCCTTCTTTGGAAAAATGTCTATTCAGGTATTCTGTCCATTTTTTAATTGAATGATTCATTTTTTGGGTGTTGAGTTTTATAAGTTCTATCTAGTGGATACTAACCTTTTATCAGATATGTGATTTGCAAATATCTTGTCCCGTTTTGTAGGTTGCCTTTTAGTTTTATTGTTTCCTTTGCTGTGCAGAAGCTTTTTATTTTGATGAAGTCCCAGTAGTTTATGTTTGCTTTTGCTTCCCTTGCCTCAGGAGACCTATCTAGTAAGAAGTTGCTACAGCCAATGTCAAAGAGGTTACTGCCTGTGTTCTCCTCTAGGATATTGATGGTTTCAGGTCTCACATTTAGGTCTTTCATGCATTTCTTTAAAGATTTTATTTGTTTATTTATTTAAAGAGGGAGAGGGAGAGACAGAATCTCAAGCAGACTCTGCACTGAGCATAGAGCCTGACGTGGGGCTCAATCTCACAACCCTGAGATCAACACCTGAACTGAAATTAAGAGTCGGATGCTTAACCGACTGAGCCACCCAGGCACCTCTAGGTGTTTCATCCATTTTTTTTTTTAAATCTTTTAAACGAAAGATTTTGTTTCTTTATTTGTCAGAGAGAGAGAGTGCACGCAAACGGGGAGCGGCAGACAGAGGGAGAAGCAGGCTCCCCGCTGAGCAGGGAGCCCAATGCGGGGCTCAATCCCAGGACCCTGGGATCATGACCTGAGCCAAAGGCAGACACTTAACCGACTGAGCCACCCAGGTGCCCGTCTCATCCACTTGGAATTTATGTTCGGGTATAGTGTAAGAAAGTGGTCTAGTTTCATTCTTCTGCATGTTGCTGTCCAGTTTTCCCAACATCATTTGTTGAAGAGACTTTTTCCCATTGGATATGCTTTCTTTCTTTGTCAAAGATTTATTGACCATACAGTTGTGGGTTCATTTCTGGGATTTCTATTCTGTTCCATTGATCTCTGTGTCTATTTTGATCACCACAGCTTTGTGTTACAACTTGAAGCCCAGAATTGTGATGCCTCCAGCTTTGCTTTTCTTTTTCAAGGTTGCTTTGACTATTCGGGGTCTTTTGTGGCTCCATACAAATTTTAGGATTGTTTGTTCTAGCTCTGTGAAAAATGCTGTTGGTATTTTCATAAGGATTGCATTAAATCTGTAGATTGCTTTGGGTACTATAGACATTTTTTTTGAAGTGGTATAGTGTTACTTTATTTTTTTATTATGTTACACTAGTCACCATACAGTACATAATTAGTTTTTGATGTAGTGTTCCGTGATTCATTGTTTGCGTATAACACCCAGTGCTCATTACAAACACGTGCTCTCCTTAATACCCATCACCCGGCTCCCCCATCCCCCTACCCTCGCCTCTAAAACCCTCAGATTGTTTCCTGGAGTCCAGAGTTGCTCATGGTTCGTCTTCCCTCTGATTTCCCCCCTTTGGTTTTCCCTTCCTTCCCCTAATGTCCTCTGTGCTATAGACACTTTAACAATATTTGTTCTTCCAATCCATGAGCATGGAATTTTTTTTTTTTTACATCTCTTTGTTTCATCTTCAATTTCTCTCATCAGTGTTTTACAGTTTTCAGAATACAGGTCTTTCACCTCTTTGGTTAGGTTTATTCCTAGGGATCTTACTATTTTTGGTGCAGTTGTAAATGGGATTGATTCCTTAATTTATCTTTCTGCTGCTTCATTATTGGTGTATAGAAATGCAACAGATTTCTGTATGTTGTGTATCCTGTGACTTTACTGAATTTGTGTATCAGTTTTAGCAGTTTTTTGGTGGAGTCTTTCAGGTTTTCCACATGGAGTATCATGTCATCTGCAAATAGTGAAAGTCTGACTTCTTCCTTGCCAATTTGGATGCCTTTTATTTCTTTGTGTTGTCGAATTGCTGTGTCTAGGATTTCCAGTACTATGTTGAACAACAGTGGTGAGAGTGGACATCCCTGTCGTCTTCCTGACCATAGCGGGAAAGCTCTGTTTTTTCCCATTAAGGATAATAGTAGCTGTGGGTTTTTCATATATGGCCTTTATTATGTTGTGCTTTGTTCCCTCTAAACCTACTTTGTTGAGGGTTTTTATCATGAATGGATGCTGTACTTTGTCAAATGCTTTTTCTGCATCTATTGAAAGGATCATATGGTTCTTATCCTTTCTTTTATTAATGTAGTGTATCACATTGATTGATTTGCGAATATTGAACCACCCTTGCAACCCAGGAATAAATGCCACTCAATCGTGGTGAATGATTATTTTAATGTACTGTTGGATTTGGTTTGCTAGTATTTTATTGAGAATTTTTGCATCTGTGTTCATCAGGGATATTAGCCTGTTCTGTTTTTTAGTGGAGTCTGTCTGGTTTGGAATCAGGGTAATAGAGTGAATTTGCAAGTTTTCCTTCATTTTCTGTTTTTTGGAATAGTTTGAGAAAAATAGCTTTTAACTCTCTTTAAATGTTTGGTAGAATTCCCCTGGGAAGCCATCTGGTCCTGGACTTTTGTTTGTTGGGAGATTTTTTATTATTGATTCAATTTCTTTGCTGGTTATGAATCTGTTCAATTTTCTATTTCTTCCTGTTTCAGTTTTGGAGTTTATATGTTTCTAGGAATTTATCTATTTCTTCTAGGTTTTTGATTTATTGTCATATAGTTTTCAATAATATTCTCTTACAGTTTGTATTTCTGTGGTGTTGGTTGTGATCTCTCCTCTCTCATTTGTGATTTTATTTATTTAGGTCCTTTCTCTTTTCTTTTTAATAAGTGTGGCTAGAGGTTTATCAATTTCATTAATTTTTTTCAAAGAACCAGCTTCATTTAGGAGCATGAACTTTAATTGCATTTTTATTTGCTTGTCGAGTTACTTCTTTATAATTGGATCAACTTTGAGTATCTCATAATAGTTTCTTCCTGCTGTGTAACAAATTATCTCAAACTTTACAGCTTGCAGCAACACCAATTTATTATTATAATTTTAGTGGTTCAGAAGCCAGGTGGGCTCGACTGGGCACCCTAGTCAGGGTCACACAAGACCAAAATCAAGTTGTTGACAGGGCTGCCATCATTACTGGAATTCAGTTCCTTCTCTGAAGTTCCGTGTAGGGCCCTTCATCTTCAAAGTAGGAAGAGTGTATTGAGTCTCTCGAATGCTTTAAATAGTTCTGACTTCAACTTCCACCACATCTCTCTGACCCTTTCTGCCTTCCTGTTCCACTTTTAAGACCTTTATGATTACTTTGGGTCCACCCAGATATTTCAGGATCATCTCTCTCTCTCAAGACCAGCTGATTAGTTACAGCTAATTCCATCCACAGTTTCTTTAACTATGTAACATAACATATTCATAGGCATAACACCAAAGGGGAAAGGTGGAGAGAAGCAAAATTTTGCCTACCACAGGTATAATTTACGTAAAATGAAACACACAGATTTTTAATATGCAATTTGATAAGTTTTGGCAAATGCATACAAGTTACATCACCGCCACCTTAATCAACATGTAGAACATTTACATCAATCCTTCTGCAACTTTCCGGTGAGTCTCATTACCCTGACCTGGCCCCTGGCAACAAGCTGCTTTCTGGATTCATTTTTGACTATTTAAGACTTTTACATCATTAGAATCATACAGTATGCACTCTTCAGTGTCTGGCTTTTTATCTTTACCATCATGATTTGGAAATTCATCCAGATTGTTGCATGAAGTAATTTTATTATTTGTATTGCTGATTACTGCTCCATTATGGGACTATATCACAATTTGTATATCTATTCACTGCCCTATGGACCTTTGGATTGTTTCCAGTTTGGGGGCTAATATAAAGAAAACTTCTATGAGCATTCCTGCACAAGCTTTTGTGTGGACATCTGTTTTTATTTATCTTAGTTAAATATCTAGGAATGAAATTGCTGGATCATATGGGAAATGCATGTTTAACCATAAATGGTTGTACCATTTATACTCCCACCAGCAACACATGAGAGTGCCAGTTACAACACATCCTGGACAATACTTGATGTTGCCAGTATTTAAGTTCAGCCAGTATTTAAGTTTAGTCATTTTAATGACTCTGTGGTGGTATCTCACTGTATGTTTAATTTGCATTTCTCTGATAACTAAAGATTCTGAGCATCTTTGCATGTGTAATTGGCTGTTCCTATATTTCCTTTGATGAAATGTCTGTTCAGAGCTTTGGCCCATTTTAAAATTGGGTTGTTTGTCTTGTTACTTTTGAGTTTTGAGAATTCTGTATATATTCTGGATACATTTTCAGATGTACTCATTTTAAATATTCTGTCCTAGCACAAAGTTTTTCATTTTGATGAAGTCCAGTTTATCTATTTTTTTCCTTTGGTTGCTTGTGCTTTTGATGTCTTATCTAAGAAACTATTGCCAAATCCAGGGTCATACAGAGTTATACCTATATTTGCTCCCAAGAGTTTTATAATATTAGCTCTTATATTTAGGCCTTTGATACACTGAATTAATTTTTGTGTGTGGTATGAGGAATGGATTCAAGTTCCTTCTACAGTTGTGCAGTGTTAATGACCGTAAAGCAGAGGCCCAGATGGTCAGTAGTCTGATCTCTAACTGAACAATTAGCCACTTATCCATTAATGTAGGTGTTGTTAAAAATTATTAAAATAATTGTACTTAGTACATTCTATTTTGTATTGTAACTTCCCTCTAGCATGCAGCCTGTGGTATAGTGAATAACTGTAAAATTGAATTGAATGGAGAAAATGGTGTATTTGTTATCCAGCTTTCTGTTGTTGTGCAAGCAGTCACATGTATTTTTACCAGGAAAAAGTTGATAGAACTTTTATTTTGATGATACCATTTTATAGCCTAGATTATTTTGATACTGATTAACGGGATAAGCTGACTCTGGACACATCCTGACAACCTCTGCCAAATTTTGAAATAAACATCTGGGGAAATTCAGTTTTATATTATCTGTTCCTGCAGCTGCTCAACTTCTTCTAAGCAAAGGTCAGGGAATATAATAGGTTTTCCGATTCTTTTTAGATAAAATGTGAAAGAACAGTTCATGTGAAGGACATTGTTGCCAAATATATTTGGCAAGATTTATATATCAAATCCCAAGGGAAATGCACAAACAAAAATCCCACAGAAGTTAGGAAGGAGTAAAACCCATGAACCCTGGAACATTTTGTCACTTATTGTGCAGATTACCCTGAAACTGACACAGGCACATACATCACGTGTTTCTGCACCAGTGGAAACTATTCACTCTAATAGAAAAGGTCCTAAATACGTTCATCTCAGAACTGAATCACATATCTGGAAGGTGCTGATGCTCTTAGGAATGTCCCTTTGAATAGGGACTCCTATTGTGGACCATGTCCCACTAAACGAGAGCCTAGGCCTTCTGTTTCTCTGTCCCACAACCTTATTTCTTTTGCCTCTGATTTTTGCCTCTTTCCTTAGAGGGAGAAAAAAGTGTTTCTGTGTGCTCTTGATCCTGTTCCCTCTAGGCTATTCCAAGCTCTTGCTCTAGTAAACGTTTTGTGTGTCTTATATTTTCATTTTAGTAAAAAATATTAAAGTGGAAGCACTGTGCTAGCGAATGTCCAAATACCTGTCTCTTGACATGGGTCTCAGTTTTGTTAACAAACTGGTGGAAGCTTTGGAGAAACTGGGTGGAGTAGACTCTGCAGAACCAAGGAAACAAAATGGAAAAAGGGACGAGTTGATGAGTGTAGAAGGGCATAATTCTCAAAGTGGCCAGGAAGTGGGACAGATGGAATGAACATACCATACCATCATGTGCACCCCTCTGTTCAGACCCTTTTCCCTGCGTCGGACCTGTGGGGGAAGGGCTGCTTTCGGAAAGGGGGGGTGGTTTCTGGTGCCTGTGGTGCGGGTGTGAGCGCGGCCACCATGGCTCCCAGAACCATCCCATTTCTGTCTTCACCACGACCTCCCCCACCCACTCACCTGCCATGTCCTTGCTTGTATGGGGAGGGGGGCAGCTTCTTCAGCTCCCAGTGGCCTGCTCCATGCCTCTCAGGTGGTTGGCTGCCCTTGGCTGGTGCACATTTGTGCCCGCCCTGCGTTGACGGCATCCCGACCCCCCCCCTTGTAATCATGCCCTTGGGGCTCCTTTTCTGGCCCATGCCCCTTTGGTATGAGTAGCCCCAAGTGGCCCCCTAGTTTCTAATTCAGTGAGACTTTTGCATTTTCACTGTGGGAATCTTGTACACTGGGAGCTCACAGCTGTAGGGAGGGTTGGCACAGACTCCCCAGAAAGGTCACAGTGGGGTGATGGTGAGTTGAGCTTCTTTTGCTGCCACCATCTTTGCATCAGTGCATATGCAGCACCTTGGAGCTCTCGCAGGGCCCCGGCTTCAAGTTGGAGCTTCAGTTGTGCTTTAAGAAGTTATTTCACTGGACTCTCTGTCTGGTAGCTTCTGGATGGGGTGGCATGTGATAAAGCCAATGGATGCCATGGTCATGGGCCCACTCCAGCACCTCCTTTATTGTATAGTGGGTCCCCTGGTCAGACATGATGTTATATGGAATCCCACATTAGTGAATCAAACCCTCTGTAAGCCTTCAGTGGGGCTTGCCAAGGCCTTGCAGGCAGGAAAGACTAAATATGTGTCTCAATCACAATGAAGTGTTATCCTTTCTACAATGGGAAGGGGTCCAATGCAGTCAACTTGCCACTGACCAGCTGGCTGGTCTCTACAGTGGACGGCAGTATTGTGCATTCAGGATTGGTTTCGGCTTCTGGCAGGTTGGACTTTCAGGGACAATATTAGGTATATTAGCTTTAGCAGGAACCCATGCTTTTGGGGCTGCATAAATTCTCTTCCTGCCACCATAGCCACTTATCTCACATTTTGCCAGCACTGGGATGGCCCATGCAGAGGTTGGCTGATGTTAATTTCCAGTCATTAGATGCTCCCTGGTGGCATTAACATATGATATGGAGATTTTTCTATTTTGTGCCCACTCACTAATATGTCTTTACCCCAGATATCCTTGTCCCTGATATCCCAATCCTGTTAATTCTAGGCCCTCAGCTAGACGGCCAAACCATTTGCTGATATCCATTCGTCCGTATATATTTGAACCTTGGGCCATTTCTCTTTCTACACAACCAATAGCATTGACTTGCACCTGCATATCAAGCTGGCCCATCTGTAAATAAATCTCAGGCTTCTTCCTCCACTAGCAGCTGGTCATCAGGGATCCCCTACGTGACCATAGATGTAATCTGAAGTAGAGGTACCAATATAGCAGAAATGAATGAGATGGGTCTCTGACAACCTGCTCATACAGCCTGCTTGTGCCCACTAATCCATGCAGATCCTCATTCCTTCCTCTGTAAATCAACTCCTTTTACTGGGAGCACTTCCTTGTCCGTACGCCAGCCCCTGGCCCTCAGTCAGTACAGAAAGTCATTTGTCATGGCATAGGGTTGGCAGAGCTGCTCCCATGACGTGCTTTCTTGGGTGCCCTGGGAACCCTGGAATGGAGTGAAATGCTGTAGCCCAGGCGGCTGCTAAAGATGGTGGAGGGGCAGGTCCTGGTGCTCGATGGCTGAGGCCATCTCCTGGGCCGCCTGGTGGCCATCGTGGCCAAACAAGTGCTTCTGGGCCGGAAGGTTGTAGTTGTATGCTGTGAAGGCATCAACATTTTTGGCAATTTCTACAGAAACAAGCTGAAGTACCTGGTCTTCCTCCACAAGTGCATGAACACCAACCCATTCCGTGGCCCCTACCACTTCCAAGGACCCAGCCGCATCTTTTGGCAGACAGTGCGAGGCATGCTGCCACACAAGACCAAGCAAGGCCAGGCTGCCCTGGACCACCTCAAGGTGTTTGATGGGATCCCGCCACCCTACAACAAGAAAAAGCAGATGGTGGTTCCTGCTGCCCTCAAGGTGGTGCGCCTGAAGCCTACACGGAAGTTTGCTTACCTTGGGTGCCTGGCTCACGAGGTTGGCTGGAAGTACCAGGCCATAACAGCCACCCTGGAGAAGAGAAAGGAGAAGGCCAAGATCCATTACCGGAAGAAGCAGCAGCTCATGAGGCTACAGAAACAGGCCGAAAAGAATGTGGAGAAGAAAATTGATAAATACACAGAGGTCCTCAAGACGCATGGACTCCTGGTCTGAGCGCAATAAAATTGTTATTCCTCATGCTTGGCCTGGCCTGCCCTTCCTCCATCGCCGCCTGGGGCTTAGAATGCTGGGAACACAGAAAGGGCTTTAGTCACTGCTGTTAATTAAGAAAGGCCTTCTTAAAAGGTTAAAAAAAAAAAACTCTAAGAGCTTTGAGGCATAATTGCCTGTGACCTGCTCATTTCTGAGAGTTCTAAGAAATTGATAGTTGGAACAACTATTTCACTGTTGGCAAGAGATCTGGAGAATGTTTGGAGGGGAGCCCTGTGTTGTGAATGGGGTGTGTTTAAACTCTGCAGCTGTTAGGGTGTGAGGATGCTGAGGGCCAAGCCTGGTGTTGTACAGAGGAGGTAGTTCATCTGGAACTTCCCTGGGAAGTACAGCCAAGGGGTCTCAGGCACTGCCCTTGTGTTTTCCCTGTATTTTGTGATCCAAAACTAATCAATTATTTTAAAGAAAAATAAAAAAGAAATGCTGTAGGTTGCTCCTGCTGCTGTGAATGTCCTAATATGTCACAGTTGCTCAAGGAAACTATTCAGATACTTAGCCTCAATAAGCACCAATAAAGGGACACCTGGGTGGCTCAGTTGTTGGGTGTCTGCCTTCGGCTCAGGTCAAAATCCCAGGGTTATGAGATCAAGCCTCACATCGGTCTTCATGCTCAGCAGGGAGTGTGCTTGAAGATTCTCTTCCTCTACCCCTTCCCCCACTCACGCTCTCTGTCTCTCTCTCTAATATAATAAATAAATAAAATCTTTTTTAAAATATTAAGAGATTAATATCCAAAGTACACGTTTCCCCCACTATCTGAAAGTTTGCTTTACAACACTGCTTTTACAACACTAAAGATCTACTTTAGTACCTGTTTTCACTAACTAAAAAAATCTGAAGAGGATTGTGCCTTTTACAAAATGATAGTTGCTTCTTTGTTTTATACCATTTCAGCTTACAAAAGGTTTCATAGGCATATTCTACTTTTGGATAGCAGGGGAAGCCTGTATATGGAGAACTCCTTAAAACTCAACAAGAAAGGGGTGCCTGGCTGGCTCAGTTGGAGGAGCATGCGACTCTTGGTCTCAGGGTTATGAGTTCAAGCCCCATGTTGGGTGTAGAGATCACTTTAAAAAAAAACTTAAAAAGAAAAACTCAATAAGAAAGCAAACAACCTAATTCAAAAATGGACAAAACACACTTGAATAGGCATTTCTCCAAAGAAAGTACACAAATGGCCAATAAGCACATGAAAAGATGCTCAAACTCACCTAGGGAAATACAAATCAAAACTACAAAGAGATACAATCTCTCACCCATTAGGATGGCTATTATACAAACAAACAAACAAAAAACAGAAAATAAGTGTTGGTGAGATGTAGAGGAATTGGAACACTTCTGCACTGTTGGTTGGAATATAAAATGGTGTAGCCACTGTGAAAAACAGGATGGTGACTCTTAAAAACTTTTTGAAAATTACCATATAATCCATAAATTCCATTTCTGGATATATACTCAAAATAATTGAAAGCAGGATCTTGAAGAGATATTTGTATACCCATGTTCATAGCAGCATTATTCTCAATAGCTAAAACATGGAAGCAACCCAAGTGTCTGTTTATGGATGAATGGATAAACAACGTGATCTGTTCATACAATGGAATGTTATTCAGCCTTAAAAATGAAGAAAATTCTGACACCTGCTACAATGTGGATCGGTCTTAAGGACATTAAGCCAGTCAGAAAAAGACAAGTACTGTATAATTCCACTTATATGAGGGACCTAGAATAGTCAAAATCATAGCAACAGAAAGCGGAATGGTGGTTTCAGGGGCTGAGGGGAGTGGAGAATGACAAGTTATTGTTTAATGGATACTGAGTTTCAGTTTTGGAAGATAAGAGTTATGGAGATAGATGGTGGTGATGGTTGTACAACAATATTAATATACTTAGTACCACTGAATTATACACTTAAACATGTTTAAGAGTAAATTTGATGTTTTATGTGTTTTACCACAATTTAAAAAATGAGAAAAAATTTAAGCTGAGAAAGTTCTCTGTTGAGGGTCCTTGGTGTCCACCACATAAACCTTCTTCTGTTCATCCTTAAATGCTACTTCTGAGTATCTATTAATGCTAGATTCCTCTGTGTAATATAGAAAAAAATCCTTTCAGATTGGGATGTTAGAACTGCACCATTTCTCCTTGGTCTTATTACTGTCTTTAGTTTTATCTTTTAAAAATAAATCAAGAATCATTGACCTAATTATTAAATTTGAAAACAGGCTGTTATGTAAGCTATAGATGAAGAGAGAAACAGCATGAAAAGAGCTCTACTGACACTGAAGCCTAGTGCACTCACTTGGAGTGACAGATGGAAACTGCCCTCAACGGAATTACAACCAAGACTACAAATGTTGTGCAGAGGAAACTTACACATGAAAACTGAATTGTTTCTGACATCAGTCAGACTGAAAAAGCATCGGTTCACAGACCCCCAAGTTTATGCAGAGGACCAGGAAATGAGTTTGACACCAAGTACTAAGGAGAGCCTGAGTTCCTGCCCCTGTCCAGCCATTCACCCAAGTTCCCTGAACCTTGTCATTAGCCAGAAACTAGAGGGGGCTGGCTGGGTGGTGCCTGAGCTTCCTTTCCGCCCTCAGATTCTAGACCCTAACACCTGTCAGTAACCAGGCAGAGAATGCACTGGGTTACTGGCTCAGCAGTTCAAACTACCTGGGGCACTGAAATGCATTTGTGTTTCTTTTATAATGAGGCCCTCTTTTCTGTTCTTTCCCTTTTCTATCCTATTTACCAAAACAAACATTGCCATACAAACCATGATGTAAGGAGAACCCACCCACTAGGTTTTATGTACACACATCCCCATTTTGCTCTCAAGGACCAGCAGTTCTTTCCTTTGTGGTGTTACAACAAAGCAAGAGTTGGATTTTAGGGGCGCCTGGGTGGCTCAGTCGTTGGGCATCTCCCTTTGGCTCAGGTCATGATCCCAGGGTCCTGGGATCCAGCCCTGCATCGGGCTCCCTGCTCCACGGGAAGCCTGCTTCTCCCTCTCACACTCCCCTTGCTTGTGTTCCCTCTCTCGCTGTGTCTCTCTCTGTCATATAAATAAATAAAATCTTTAAAAAAAAAAAAGAAGAGTTGGATTTTAAGTGGAGAATGAAAGGGGGATCAGTTGAGCTAGCATGCAGTTGTGAAAAGTTCATCATGAGGGGTCATTTTTAATTATTACACAAATATATGAGATTGAAATATGATGTCAAATAAAAATATTTAGTTACCAAAACAGAAGAAACAACATCTGGGAAGTGGTAAGAGTTAGATATCCAGAAGTATAAGTCAGGAAGAGAGGCTCTCTATGGCATATAGAAAACTGCAGAACTACTCTATGCATGCAAAAATGAGTGACAATAGCTACCTTCAAGCACTTTGTATTTTCTACCAATTCACCTGCAGCCTTCTTCACATTGATCCTTTTGATTATTCAACCTAGACTGGGCCCCAGAACATGACAACCTAACTTGTGAGGTAGAGAGAGAGGAAAAGGTTGGGAACCAATCTTTACCTAAAAGAGTTTTAATAGCTGAGGCAATTGGAAGGTAATTTTCTCTGTGATATTCCTGGTATCCCTGAGAGGGGAAGTATAATTTTAGGTACATACTGACAAAATTTGAATACAAGTTAATTAGATTAAAGTTACAGTGTCTTTTAGAGATAAAATTGAAGGACCCTATAGTTATTGTTTTGGCAAAGGATGCAGTGTATGGGTACTCAAACTTTATTGAGACAGAAACAAACCATGATTTATGATTTTATGATTTATTTTATCATGTGGCACCTAATGTATCAGATGACTTTTGAAAACAGTGTTTTGGTTTGATAGATGTTAGGAATTGTCTTAGTCTGTTCAGGAAGCTATAACAAAATAGCACAGACTGGGTGGCTTGTACACAGCAGACACAGATTTCTGACAGTTGTGGAGCCTGGAAGTCCAAGGTCAAGTGCTGGCAGATTCCGTGTCTGGTTCACAGACGGCCATCTTCCCACTGTGCCACTGTATCATTGCATATGGTGGAAGAGGTGAGAGATCTCTCTGGGGTCTTGGGTCTCTTTTATAAGGTCGCTAATCCCATTGTCTGCACACAAACATTCAGTCTGCTTATAGCAGTGTTATATACAATTTCCAGTTTGCCTTGTTAACAGTAGAAGAGAGTGGGATGGAAGCTTTACTTCCAGCTTCTGGAAAAGTGGGTTCAAAGAAGGTCCACCAAAATGAATGACATTTTCCTTTCTTCACACAGGTTTTCTCCTAGGGTGCCAAGATCTTTGCCATTCAACACATCAGTCATGTACAAAAAGACTGTGTTCGTAGAGTTTACAGATGACCTTTTCAACATTGCCAAGCCCAGGCCACCATGGATGGGTAATATAAACAATATTGACTGTTTATTATGAAACTGAGTATCTGATGTCCTAGCAAGGATCCCCCAGTCTTGGAGCTGCAGTTGTAGAAGGCCAGGTTTCCCTTACTACCACCTGTTGGGGAAATACACTGACACAGAATATTCTGTCTCTTTGCTGGACTCTCCTCCTCTGCTTGTTCTCTAGATGTTAGAGTGCTCTGGGTCTTGGACTTGGGTTTGTTTTATTTTTTCTTTACCTTCGATCACTAGCTGATCTTATCCAGTCCCACAATTTTAAGATATCCCTATGCCAGTAACTCCCAGGTTTAGATCTTCAGTTCAGGCTGCTTGCATGATACGTCCACTTAGATGTCAAATAAGCATGTAACAGGATATCAAAATAAGACATCTCCTACCTTAGAATTATTGCTGAGAATTATAGGTGACAAGTACTCCCAAATTCTAAAGACAGATTGGGAGCACCCAGCTGGCTCAGTCAGTAGAGCACATGGCTCTTGATCTTGTGGTTGTAAGTTCAAACCCTATGTTGGGTATAGAGATTATTTTTTTAAATTATAAAAGGTCAGTTTTACCCAGTTTGAAATCTTGGACTAAGAGAAAAGAAATAAATTTTATGAGACAGAAACAAACCATGGGAGACTCTTAACAATAGAGAACAAATAGAGGGTTGATGGAGGGAGGTGGGTGGGGATGGGCTAGATCGGTGATGGATATGAAGAAGGACACATGTTATGATAAGCACTGGATATTGTATATAAGTGATGAATCATTGAATTCTCCTGAAACCAGTATATGTATGTATGTATGTGTATGTGTATATATATGTGTGTGTACACACATATAAAAATGAGTGACACACACACACACACACACACATATATATATATATATATATATATATATATATATATTTAGAGTGAGAGTGAATAAGGAAGAGGAGCAGAGAGAGAGGGAGAGAAAGAATCCCAAGCAGGCTCCACACCCAACACAGAGCATGATGCAGGGCTTAATCTCAAGACCCTGAAATCATGACCTGAACCGAAATCAAGACTCAAACATTTAACCAACTGAGCCACCCAGGTGCCCCTACTCCTGAAACCAATATTGCACTGTATGTTAACTACCTAGAATTTAAATTAAAATTTGATGGAAAAAAAAAAGAGATGTCAGCCCTCATATGTAGGACTTATTCAGGGACTTGTTCAGGTGGTGACCCAAAATTGGTTCTGCAACCCTCAGCCCATCTTGCACCTCAAGCCTAAATAAAAGAAGGCTAGGAACTTATGAAATAATTTAGGTTTGAGGATTTCTTTGTAAACCATTTTTGGTGATTTGTATGTTCCCCACCCCATAGTGGGAGGAAGGTTTCACCCTCATGTCAAGCTGTAGTGAGGAAGCTTTAGGAGAACCACTTAGAAGACTTGACATAAGACCTGTGGAACTCCTAAGACTCTGACTAGCTCCTGCTTTTTATCTGAAAAAACTTTCAAGGTCAGAGTCTTCAGGGAACTTCCCCTAAAAGTCTCTCTAATTGTACTGCCAGAAGCAGAAACTGAGAAGAGATATACAAGTGACAGCTGGAGAGGGCATGATTTGGAAGGAGAGAGTCTCCAAAGAACTCCTTTAAGTTCCCTAAGAAAGAAAGAGACAGAATTTTGGCATGCCTCACAACCAGGGGCTAGCAAAGCCACATTATCACTATTCTTTCCAAGAAAGATCTTGTCATCATGCCTCTTTTTACACCCCTGTCCTTTTCTCACTAGCTACAAGCTTAGAGGGTCAGGAGATAGTAAGGTGAGTGGGGGAAGCAGATTCAGAGAGGAAGATGAGAAAGCTGGAGGAGGGAGGGACCCTTACATTGCAGGAGACATCAGATGTTTGATATTAAGCTAGACTGCTAATATGTGATGGTTACTGGAAAACATTGGGGATTGTTCAAAGTGCAAGAGGGGAAACTCCACGTAACACAGGTGTTTTTTTTTTAAGATTTTATTTATTTATTTGACACAGAGAGAGAGCACAAGCAGGGGGAGCAGGAGAGGGAGAAGCAGCTCCCTGCAGAACAGAACAGGGAGCCCAAAGCGGGACTCGATCCCAGGAACCTGGGATCATGACCTGAGCCAAAGGCAGACACTTAACTGACTGAGCCACCCAGGTGTCCCTCCACATAGCACAGTTAAAAACCATGAAAAATAAATCTCTTTGATGTTTTTGACCCATTGAATCCACTTCATTCAATAAATCATTTGTAGGCATCTTATACTTAATATGTCTATAAGTCAGAAGTCTTGATTTTCCTCTTAATTTTCTGCATCTTGGCCTGCCTACCACCCAGTTGCACAAACCCAAGCCACAGGAGTCATCCCTGGCTGCTCGTTTTTTTTTCCTATCTCTAACATGCAATCCATCAGCAAGTCTTGCTGACTATTCATCCAAAACAAGTCCCAAGTCTGCATACTTCCTGTAAATTCCAAATTCATCCAAACTCCTGTGGCCTACAAAGTCCTACATGTTATGTTCCCTGCCTGCCTTTATAACCTTATTTTCTCTTATTCCCCTGTTCATTCACATGTTACTCAACTATGTCAAGATTATTCCTGTCTCAGGACTTTTCCATTTGTTTTATCTGCTTTGAATGTTATTCTATTAGATATTTACAAATCTTGCTTCTTTTCAATTTAGTTAGATCTCTGCTCAAATGCCACCTCTTCAAAGATGCCCTTTCTAACCACTATATTTAAAAGATTCTGTCTCCTGCTTCATCATTTTCTAGCACACCACCATCTTTTATAGCATTTACAACAATCAGAATATGTCTTGTTGGGGCGCCTGGGCGGCTCTGTTGGTTAGGCGTCTGCCTTTGGCTCAGGTCATAATCCCAGATTCCCACGATTGAGTCCCATGTCGGGCTCCCCACTCAGCGGGGAGTCTGCTTCTCCCTCTGACCCTCCCCCATCTTGTGCTTTCTCTCTCATTCTCTCTCAAATAAATAAAAATATTTTTTAAAAAAAGAATATTTCTTGTTATTTCTTTATGTGCTTAATTACATTCTCCAGAATGTAGTTTCCATGCTCTGTCTTCTTCACCACTGCATCTCCTGTGCCTAGGGCAGTTCCTAGACTATAGTAGGAACTCAACTATTAGTTGAATGAATGAATACATTGAATAAATTGCCAGAAATCTATCCTCAGAACAACCATGACACTAAGCTGGTGATAGCAGTTTATGCATTTATTCAGTCAGTTACTACTTTTTATTGATAATCACAGGGTCATGTTTTTCCACTGTGACTTTGGCCATCACTTTCATAATATCAGGTTTCCTGGAGTACCACTCTCAAAGTGACCTTTGGGTGGCATCGCATTCTTGCAGGTTTGCTGGGTCCTACCATCTGTGCTGAAGTTTATGACACAGTGGTCATTATACTTAAGAACATGGCTTCTCATCCTGTCAGTCTTCATGCTGTTGGTGTATCCTATTGGAAAGCTTCTGAAGGTGAGTCAAATGCCCTCCTATTCTCCTGTCATCTCAGGGATAAAGGAGTATTGAATACAAGGTCCTACAGCTAGTGAATGGTGTACTCAGGATTCGAACCTAGGCCAATTTCATGAAGTCAGGAACATTGTCATTTTCGTCTAAGCCCTGAAGTTTATTTTTTTTAAGATTTTATTTTTTTGAAAAAGAGAGTGAGCACACACGTGCGCACAAGCAGGGGGAGCAGCAGAGGGAGAGGGAGAAGCAGACTCCCCGCCAAGCAAGGAGCCTGATGCAGGACTTGCTCTCAGGACCCTGCGATCATGACCTGAGCTGAAGCCAGACACTTAACCAACTGAGCCACCCAGGTGCCCAATAAGCCCTGAAGTTTAATTTGGTTCCTATTCTCCCTTGAGGAGCCAGGCCACTGATCCTAACAATTCCACTTCGTCTGCCTTCCTATGCCCAGAAAACTTCCTAGGGAGGATCAAGGCTCATGGTATGGAAGTGAAATGGATTTCATCTTCTCTTTCCTTAGATTCTGACTGTCCAGACACTTTCTCTGCTTCTCCTCCCCCCAGTTTCTAAATATGGATGCCACCATGTGATAAGAGCCACCTACCAGAAGCACAAACCGACTTTGTTAAAACAAAAACCTATTTGGCCAGAGTCCCTACTTAACGTAGCTTCTCCTTAACCTTCACAATGCAGGAAGGGAGTGAAGGGGGTACCACAATTAACTATATTTTCCAGATAGACTATGGCATATATAGATCAAGAAGATTCAAGCAAATCATTAATAAACTATTAGAGCACATGCCCTATGTTGACTAATTTCTCATTCTGAAATTGGAAAGTCTTAATTTTTTGAGTTGTACTCAAATATCAGTCCATGATCACACACACACTCCTTCCCCAGGTGCCAACTCAGGGTTTTTAAAAATGTCTACCTGTACTTTGGCTGCTGAAAGTTTGTAGTAAAAGTACAGGCAGAGTAGGGATAAGGTATAAATAAAGAGCCTCCTGAATGCTTTGGGCTGCTCTGGAACTCCAGAGACCATTATAAATCCAGGAAGTTATAGTGAAGTTGCTAGAAAAATGTTTCAATAGAAGTATAAGGCATTATGTCAGTGCCTTTAAATAGTTTCTACTTCTGTCCACTGAAATGACCTAGAAGCAAAGATACTTCATTAACAATGAACACATATAGTGCTCAATTTAGAATCAAGGTATCAAACTAATCCAGGGGTTAATTTTAACATCACTAAGCATGAGACAGCCAGAAAATATCTGCCCCTGATGTGATCTGCTCCTCCAGAGAAGAACCAAGTTAAAAACATTTTTAAAAAGGGCCACCTGGGTTGCTCAGTTGGTTAAGTGTCAGACTCTAGATTTTGGCTCAGATCATGATCTTCAGGGTTGCGAGATC